GTCCCATTTAATAATTAAAAAAAAAGGTTATGAAAAAAAATAAATAAAATAAAAAAATTTATTAAAAATTTTCAATTTTATATAAATTTCCTTAATTATATATAGATGTCTCAATTATACTCTTTTTTTTTTAATTCCAACACAGCGGTACCTACTTAACTATCTAAAATTCTGTTCAACAGATGAGTCTTTTTAACTTAATATAAAATTCTTAAAACGATTAAATACAAGAAGATATTTTAAAGTTGTTATATAATTAACTATAATATTTAATTATCTTTAAAAACTAATTAAAGATATTAAATATGTATTGATTAACTAATATGTTTTTGATAGTCATTATTAAGGACTATGTGGATAGAAGGCAAATAACATATAAATCTTGATTTTTTTTTAACATACTAGTTAGTAATTTGTGTAATATATATATATATATATATATATATATATATATATATATATATATATATATATTTAAAGTATTAATTTTTTAAAAAATATTTTAATAAATCCGTTAATTTTATAGAAAATGAAAGTTGACAACTCTGTTAAAATTTATTTTATTAAAATGTAAAGTAAATATAACCTTAAATTATTATATATACGTCAATAATCTTTTAATAAACAGAATCAATTGAAAAGTGATCAAGGAATATATATATATATATATATATATATATATAATGAAATGATTATATTTATTAATGGTTTCTTATAGACTAAATATTTTATAAAATCATAAATAAAAAATTATAATATAATGAAATTAAAAAATAATACAGTAATTTATAAAACAATAAATATAATGATAAAATAAAAAATGAGAATAGTTAACTAATATTAAAATTATGAAAAGTAATGAATAATAAATATTTCAATATTGTAAAAATAAAATGAAACGAAATAATGTCATACAAATTAATTATATCGATAAATATTTTTTTATTTTTAAAATTAATTTATTTTATTATTATATATTATTGTTTTTTTATTACTTTAAAATTTTTATTATGATAGTATTATATAAATATGTTTTGATTTTACAATATTTTGTAATAATATTACCATGCAAATTTTTATTAGTATTAGTGTTTTTAAAGTATAGTTTGTTGGAACTTGGTAGCTAGCTAGTTGGGGGTTGAAAGTTTCATTAAAAGGCAGTCTCCTGTGTGCTCTTACCTGAAGCTTAATATAGATGCTTAATGTAGATCTGCTATTTATGGTGGACTCATTAGGGATAGCTATGAAAGTTTTATTGTTGGGTTCCACATAACTTTTCGCTTGTGCTCCCCCTAGCAGCTAAGCTTTAGAAAATATTTTAGGGGTTAAAGCTTGTTATTTCTAATGATATCCCATCCTGTAAATATTCAGAGTTGTATTTATTTTCTGTATTTTATTATTTGTGCAATTAAAAAAGTACTAAGAGGAATTAGGTTTATTAGATTTAATTATCTCTTGAAAGAGACTAATTAATGTACTGATTGGTTAACTGAAATAAGACTTAAATTTAGGCTTCTTTTATCTATTTTGATAAAGCTCTTTAGTCTTTAGGTCCTTTTCTCACTTTGGATTCTTTAGGAACTTAGTTTCTTAGATCTTTAGTATGTCTAGTTGTGTTTTTAAGCTGTTTAGCCCTGTTTATATATAAAAAAAGAGATTACACAAAAATATAAAGATTAAAAAATATATATAATTCAGATGAACTAAAATAAAAAATTACTAAAATGCAAGAATAAAAAAATCAAGCTTCTACTTTTTAAGCACTCACGTTAATGTGGGAATAGTTAAAAAAAATTAAAAATGTTTATTTTAAAATAAGTGGATTATATACTTATTCAAAGAAGAAGAAAAATGTAATAGGTAAAATAATTTGAAAAAGGATAAAATAAATGAAAATAGAACAAGAGAAAGAAGCAAAATAAAATAAAATAAAACAAATTAACACTCTGGTTATCGTTATCCATGATTTATCTAATGAATATTGCATCATAGATTGCGCTATTGCCTAACTGGACCTTGGTCAAAAACTTTCTATCAATAGTGCTGGCTCCTACAAAAATGAACGAGGGTGCAGTATTTGAGATTGTGTATGCATTTGGACCCAAATTGCCAGCAGTTTTAGACACTAATATGCCCTTTTTAATTCATTGCATGGAAAGCTCCTATTGCAAATGTGTCCTCAAAATAGTGTGGGTAATGTATATCACACTTGAAGGTCCCAATGAGAGGGAAATTATGTCAACACCATCAGCAATTGCTTCATCATACGCTGCAAGGATATCAGCATCTCTACAACTAACCCACTTCCCAACATACTTTATATACAGCAATACCTGCTGATGGAACTCCTCCTCTTGACCCTATTCCAAATAAACTTGCAGATCTAACTGCGCTTGCAGCAGCTATTATTAGGTATATATTAGTATTACACCTGCCGAGGACGTCTTGAACCATACTACTGTGAAGAGACTCTATAGGTTCCACGTCCTTTGGCTTATTGCCCATGTAGACGATGCAAGTCTGCATATAGAACATGATTAGAGAGAGCAAGTTATATTAGAAAATAATAAAAAGGGAATTCAAACGCAAGTTATATTAATTAAAAGTTTGAGAAAAATATTCAACCCCATTTAAATTTCTTTTATATGGTTAATTTTATTTTCATTTTGAAACTAATCCAAACTCTTCTTAAAACTTTAAAAAAATTTGAAAACAGTTCAAACTTTAAATTTTTATATATAAAACAGATTTAAAAAAATAAAAAATATAATTAATCAAGAGTAATAATTTAAAAGATACTTACACAAGTTCTGAAGACGAAAAAGAATGATAAAATTGCGAGAGAGAAAAATAAAACACAAAGGGTGTGCATGATTGTGTTTTTGTCATTTGATTTTTATCATTATGTTGTAAAACAATTTTACAAAACAGTTTAAAGATAAATACTATTTACCTTTGGATCATTCTCAGCAAATGATGGAGTCAGAAGCAGAATGCATATAAGAATTTGGAGCATATGCCACAACCCTAAAGAGATCATCTTTTGTTCAGAGAAATCTTAGATAAAGTTATAAATTATTTAGTTAAATTTATTAAAAATACGGGATATCGCAATTAAAGGTATTCATGCTTTCTGAAGAACAACCAGTCTTACGTTAAAACAAAGTTCAATTAAGAACCACAAAGCATTACATGAAAACAAATTATATACATAGTATAAAAGTATGTTGATATCTTAATAATATAAGTAAATAGTCATATAATAAATATAATTCTTTAATATTATTATCGTTCAACTTGTAAGTGTTGTTCTAAATTAATTTATGGTCTTAAATTTAATTTTTAGTTAATTTAATTATAGTATAATAAATGATAATACTAATACTAATAACAAAAATATTAATGACAATATTGAACTCCAATATGTATTAACATTTATTTCTGTAACAAAATAGAAAATGCCTAAATCAATTATTCATTCACATAAATTTAAAAGAGGGTAAAAATTTAAATAAATTTAACTAAAATTAAAATAACTAGTTAAAAAAATGTGAAATATATAAATATTTTATTTTTTAATAAATATATATAATTTTAATGAAATAATAAATATTTAATAAAATTAAATAATTTTAAAATATACATTATTTTAAAATAATGTTTTGACATCATAATGTCTAAAAAATATTGAAATAAATATCAACAATCAATAATATTTATAACTATAAATTTAAGAGATGAGACAATTAAAATATGTATTTTAAAAAATATTTAAAATTTTATATAAAGTAATAAAAAAATTAAATAACAATTTTAATCTTAAAAATTTAAAATAGAATTGACAAAAGTGTGATAAAAAAAACTATTATAGTAAGAGAATATAAATTACATATTATTTTCAATCAATTTTAATTGTAAGCTATATATATTACAAACTATTAAAAAACTTTATTAACATTTTACTTCTTAAACAATATACTTTTAGGTTGATTAAAAAATAAAATTTATTATATTATTTTTTCTTACTTTTAATTATTGATTTTTTTACTTTAATGTTTTAAAGGATCTATTTAGAACACACTGATGCGAATTTGCGGGTTCCATTCCAGTTATCATTTCCTGTTTGAACATGCAAAATGGGGGCATAAAAGGAAATAAAAAGAACAAATATTGAAACTTGTCACATGAATACGCGTACACGAACACACAAATTGAGTACAGTTCTACATTTTTCTTTTATACAGTGCTGATCTCTGTTATATGAATAATGCAAGTACAGTATTCGTATCTCGTATGAATACCGATGCAAAATAAGACAATTTTTAAAATTAGAGGTACGTGAATATAAATTTTAAATAATACAAATAAATAATATAAATATTAGTAAATGTTAAAATTCTTATTATATATTTCATAAATAAAAATTAATAAATCTGATTAAATAAAGAAATAAATAAAAATTAAGAGAAAAGTAAAATAATATATAAATTTATTAAATAATTTGTTATTTTTTAGAAGAAATAATGTAACTAATATTTAAGTATAATTAATAATATCATAAACTATATTTAATTTCATTAAAGTTATATTTATTTACATACAATTATTTTTTTAAAAATAATTTTGATAAGTATTCAAGTGTACCCAATGAACACTAATATCTTGTATACTTATCAAAATTATTTTTAAAAACTTTCTTTCTCTTACTTATTATTTACGCTTTTTCAACTGTTATATTATAATAAAATTCTTCTCTTTTCTCTTTCTCTTTTTTCTTTCTTTAATAAAACATTCTTTATTCTTTAGTTCACTTGTTGTTCAAGTATCAACAAGAGATGGTGCGCTAATTAATTGTATTGCTAGCAATTAAAATATTACAAATTTTGATAATGACCATTTGCATATGTCAAGATAGTTATCCTCAATGTTGATTATAAACAAGCTTCAAGTGAATTCGAAGAGTTAGATAGATATAGTTAATACTAAATACAATTATAAGTCAAATTTAATGTAAAATTCATGATAATATAGAAAGTAGGAGTATTGATGTCACCTAAACACTAAGGTGCATGTTAGATAGTAACTAGAAAATATACTGAACATAAGGATTAACAATAACATAGTAACTAGAAAATATGAGCATAGTGCAAACACAATCCATCTTGCATTAAGCAGCACCAGCCTCGCAACAGTAGAATTCAACGAAGTTGCCTCATCAGCTCAAGTATCTCTACTTGCATCAATTGCATCAACTAACGTTGGTTAATCTCTAGCCAACTGAAGTGAATCATTAGTCTATTTTTGACAACTTACTGCAACAAAAGCATTAAAGAAAGAAATTTTTTGTTATTCTGCATTATTTAGCCAATATATTTGAAATTATGCAATAAAAAATATGATAAACAAAACTTGAACATGTAGACAACATAATCAATTGATATCGTAACCAAACTTTCATTAACACAGCGAATCTTGAAGCGTCGTTTAACTAATAACAAATCATATTATTTTAAGTCATACATGATTGAGCTTCTAATAAAAATTAACTAATTAAATAACAATAATAATGTAGCAATACCTCATTGTGTGCAGTTGGATATGTGCTACTAGATCAAACAAATCCAATGAACTCTAAAGAAATAAATTAAGAATAAGGTATTTCAAACCAAGTAACACCACACATTATCTATGTTGTAATTCCAAAAGGCATACTTGTGGGTAAAAGCAAGATGAAAGTACAAAAAAAAAAAGGAAATAAGAGCTGAGAAAAAAGGATAACCTGCATATTTTCTCTTGCAGGGTCCCAATAGCACATTGGTGGCAGCATCTGGTTCACTTTCTTCAACTTTGCCTTCTAAAGAGTAGTTTTTATCATAACCTTTCACATTACCCAACTCAAACAAGTATTGAAATGAATAATAAAAAGAACTATGTTTAATATGACCCAATGCAAAATTTGCCTATATACCAACAACGGCTCAACTATTATAATTTGTGATATAAGTACTCATAACATGCCTTTAGGTTCCTCTCACCTTTCTTTGTTAAAAATATCTACACCATCAAACAACTACTGTAAAATTGGCTGCTTTTATATATGTCATCTAAGTTGCAAACCAGTTATCTGGATAATGCACTAGTATCAACTCCATGCCATCCTAAATCACTAATAAAGAGATCTAGATTATAAATATTAAATTACATGATATACTAGGAGAATTTCCTTTCTTTACTATAAATCTTAAAATACCATGCTTTTAGAAGAGAAAAACATGGATACTAGATAGGATAATTTCTTTTCTATAATATTAATATTAAATGTTGTCCAAGATGAGATCTTTGCCTCTTGTTTTGAGAACTTAAAGTGAGAGCTAGCTACTAGGTAATTTAGGTACATCTCTTATTTTTTTTCACGTATCTGATAATAAAATGTGATAGATCCTGAAAGTATATTTATAATTTAACACTTGAAAGTCGCTATGAAATAACTAAACGATTATGACCAACATGTCACCAAAATCTGAAATCAAAAACAACTTATTTACATTAAATATATATGACGGTTAAGATTTTGATAATGTTTAACCATAAATAATTAATATTATTTGGATAATTTGTATTTATAACTCAAAAACTAGTTAAAAATATTTTATTAGCAAAGCAAATATAATACACGACGTTTACATTAAATAAATACGCATCAGAATCAGATTAGTACCTTTATCATCACTAATCATGAAGGATAATTTGTGGGATATGTGCGATTTGGCGACTAACAGCACTTGTCTCTGTTCGGCACTCTTTAAGCAAGAGGGAACACCACTTGACCTCAAAGATCTTTAAGTTCTTAAGACGACTCATTCCTTCGGGCAGCGATGCCAAATTTGGGCAATTGTAGATGTCGATGTGCTGAAGCAATGAGAGGTTGCAAATCCAATCTGGCAAAGCCTTTAGCCTTTCACATGTAACTATGCTTATTTTTCGCAGAGAAGAAAGGCAGTTGGTGTCGTCCTTAAACCCAGTCTCAAATTCCTCCGGTGTTTCACTGTCACACCATCCAATTTGAAGACACTTGAGAGAAGTCAGATTTTGCATCCAACCTTTTGGTAAATTCATAGGAACAGAAATCGCCAATTCTTCGAGTATGGAAAGAGGAGCAGCGGAGGAAGACGAGTCGGCTGAACATGTTGAGTTTAGTGTTGCTATTAATGGCTCTGCACTGCAGTGATACAAGAACAAATTCTCAACCTTTGGAAAAGTAGGCATGCAAGTCAACTTTGGACAGCCATAGACATTCAGTTGAGAAAAACGAGGAAATGAAAGAGATGAGGAGAGATTATGTGAATCATTGATATCGTCTCCTCGCCTGCGCCATCCCCTGAGCTTGGGACAATTAATTAATACGAGGTTCTCCAAAGAGGGGAAGAAGGTTACTGCAAAACCATCTTCGTAGAGATATATGTATTCCAATTCACGAAGAACCTGTATATCAAGTGACTTCAGGGACGGGAGACGTTCCAACGGCGTTAGACAGCGACAATTAGGAAGACAATAGAGACTAATGTCAACAACATTTGTGAGGAGAGAAAGCCAATTTGAGAAAAGCATGCCTGGATAATCAATCACCTTCAACCGCTTGAGATTACGGTGGGGCTGAAGGTTTTCCAATAACTGTAGGCTGTCACTGTTACAGATGTCTCCGTGCTCTTCACTGGACCAATCCAGAGTCAAGGATTGAAGGAATTTTTTTTCTTTTAAATTTACGTGCTGTGATTCCAGAGCCACTTGTCTGACGCGTTTGAGATACTGAATTTCTAATTCGCCTCTTATTAGGTTTAAGTCCTTGAGTTCATTTAGTGTGCCATATCTTATTTCTTGGCTGTCTCCCACAACAAAGGTCGATAAGAATTGCAATGAGCATAATTTTCCCAACCCAATTGCCATTCTACTCAAGGTGTCATGGTAAGCAATACCTAGGCACCTCAGATTGACTAATTTTGTGACTACTTCTGAAAATGATTCTTCATCACACTCCCACAATTTTAATGTTTGTAAGAAAACAAGATTGCTCATAGATTTGGGAAGACTTGTTTGTTGCATTAAATCAAGGTATCTTAAATGCTTCAAATCTTCAGTGGAACCAGAGAGATGATGCATCCTCAAGACACGTAAGTATTTGAACTTTGCAGTAACCGACAGATATTCCTCCACTTCGAAGTGATACGGCAAAATCAAAGGCAAGATCAAAGTTCGCAGCCTGATCAGATCAAATGATTTCAACAAATGAATGGCCTCATAAGATTCCAACGATACGTGCATGGGTCTACCTTCAACTGTTTCTGCCTTACTATCCAAGTAACAATAATCATTGCCAGCAACAAGCATCGCAAGATCATGTATTAAATCATGCATTTTAAAACTAATGATCTCACCGCATTCATCATTTTCTGCATCTTGAAAAAATGAGTTCATCAAAAACATCTTTACAAATTGATTTCCAACATCCTCCATGTGCTGTTTTCCAGTTGAACATTTAAGGTAACCCTGTGCCATCCATAACTGAATCAACTCATCTTTTCGAATTTCTGAATCCTTGGGGTACAAAGAGCAATAAGCAAAACATTGTCTCATTTCTGGCGACAAGTTGCGGTAACTGAGTTTTAGAATTGGCATGATACTCTTTTGCTCTTCACATAATTTCCAGAAGTCACCAAGTAAAACATTCTCCCATTCACTTTCTTCGTTTTGTCTTCTTAACAGGCCTCCCAGGGTCTTAACTGCTAGTGGAACCCCCTTACATTTTTTGGCTATTTCTTTCCCCGTTGATTCTAGATTTTGATTCACTCTTTTGAAATCATCCTCAAATGCAATGCTCTTCAACAAAGTCCAAGACGCTTCATCAGTCAAACCTTTCAAAGGATAGGAAGTGCTAGCAGTCATTGCCTTTGCTACATTTTCACTTCGAGTTGTCACTAAAATCTTACTATCTTGAGCGCCACACATCAAGTACATTCTCAATTCAGCCCATTTGTCATGACTTTCATTCCAAATGTCATCCAGGACCAACAAATATTTCTTACCTCTTACTTCTTCATGAAGTTTTCTTTGCAAGTTGCCTAATGATAACTTGTCTTCAACTTGGTCACCAGTAATTGATTCTAATATTTTCTTCATAATAGTTTTCACATCAAAGTTATCAGAGACACACACCCACATTTGCATATCGAAAAAAGTCTGCACTTCCAAGTCATTATACACCAATTGTGCAAGAGCTGTCTTCCCCAAACCACCAAGGCCAACAATGGCAATAACAGAAATTTTTTGGTTTTCATGAGGTTGTCTCAACAGACTAATAATCTCCTTCTTACTATCATCTCTTCCAATGATATCTGATTCTAATACAAAAGAACATGTTTCTCTCTGTTCACTATTAGTTTGCTTAACCACCGCTGATGTTGGGCTTAAATTCAAATCCTTCATTTCCTTTATCACACCATTAAAACTTTCTCGTATTTCTTTAATTTTGTCAGGCATTTCAGTGTATAAAGGAAGTTGATTTGAAGATGAAATGGAAAGAAGGACCTTGTCTACTTCTTTTCCTTCTGCACCCAATTTGTCTCTCCTGAATTGGATAGCAAGGTCATCTAAGGAGTCATCTGCAGTGTGGAGTACTTTTTTGAACCTTCTGATCCAAACTCGCACACCATCATCTTGATCTTGTTTATCGTCGGCATCACGGAGCTTAGAATTGATGGATTCAATAGTGTTCTTAAGCTCTTCCAAGTCTTCCGTCACATCATATTGAATTCCAAATTCAAGAAAATCTGCGGAAGCCAACCTGAGATTTGAAGTAATAGCAAATGGAACTGACTTAGCCATCGTTAAAATGATTAAGAAAGACTACACATAGAATCATAATTTGAGCAATGTGTAAAAATATTGGCATAAGTATCGAGGAAAAGGAAAAACATGTAATAACAATCTACAAATTCAATTGATTGAATCATGATTTGTTCATAGCCGGCTCAGTTACAAATCCTTACCAATCATAATTTCCATAATTATAAATTTTATTTTTGTTAGTACAAATCTCATTCACACATCTAAAAGTAGATATTTATTTTTTATAATTACATTACAAGAGAGAAAAAAATATCAATTATCACTCCAAAATCTCCTTGTTTAAAATATTTTATTAAAATATTATTATTAATGTAATCCCCTAATAGAATAGGACGAGTATATAATTCCAGGAACATTTTTCCAACGTAACATTATGTTATAACACATAATTATTTTTTATTAATGTTGATCTCATAAAATTTACTATAGAAAGTAATTTATTGTAACTCCGTATCATATGATTTCTCTTGTGTGCACCAGTACGTGTTCATTCTCGAATAAACGAGTACTTTGGAATTTTTTTATATTTACTTGTTTAGCTTCTTTTATATTAATTTTGTTATATTTATCATTTCATTAAGTTAAAATATTATTTTTTAAATTTAATTAATTTTAAAGTAAATTTTAAATTTTTTATCATGACACACTATATTAAATTGTTAGACATAAAAATAGGGGAACTAAGAAAATAAGGAAAAAAATAAAAATCTAAAGTGTAAGCTAAGCATGTTATGGAAGAATTAAAAAATGGATAGTTATTGTTGAAATAGAAGAAAGGGTGGAAAAAGGAACCTGTGAATGAGATTAGACGCAACAGCAAATGGAACGTTTTCCATATTCCTTAGATCTGATGAAGAGAAGAGATTTCAGTGTGTTCAGTTTGAGATTCGCAATGGCTGCAGCGTAAACATTATTGCTCTTATATCTCCCCATCGCAGGGACACTCAAATCATCTTTTCTTCTAAGTCTTCAATCTAATATTATTAAATATACAATAAAGGGTAGCCTCTAACCCGAGTTACCCATTAATTAGTTTAGTAATGAGGGAAGATTGTTTCTGCAGTTAGATATAATACTAATTTAATCAAAGTTGAGATTAATTATTGTGACTTTGCTGTGTAGTCGTCGAGTCAAAAAAATTATGTGCATTATTATAACTCACATTGACAGCTAATGTTGTCTCATCTTTTGGTCATCATTTTATAATTGTTTAATGTAGTTAAAAATTTAAACAACATCTATAATTTTGAGATTATGTATTAAGTTAAATTAACTTTTTTAAAATTGATTGAGATGCTTGGTGATAATGAATTTTTATAATTTATTACTGTTAATTATAATATATTAATTTTTTCATTACTTGTATCATTCTTGTTATGTTTCTAATACCTGATTTGTCTGCGTACGATGCAAGCGGTCATATGAAATTGATGTTATAAGAGTTAGGTGCGTCACTTTTGAATACCTTTATTTTGTTATACCTATTGTTAATGTCTTAATTTTTCTCTTACTTCGTATAATCATACATCATTTACTTTATTAAGAAAAAAAATATGTAAACTGCTACACTTATATATCTATTACCACTATTTTTTTAAAATATTTTTAATCTAATATATATATATATATATATATATATATATATCTTATAACTACACTAATAGTAAAAGTATTTTATATAATTTTTTAAAAATTGAAGTTGAAATAAATATATGGGTGTAACTACATTCTAAAAAAGTAAAATTAGGTATTAGTTTTGATTTATTAGATTTTAATTTTTTTTTTAAAGTTAATAATGCTATAAAATGTATTTGCAAGGTAATAAAATTTACAATCAAAAAGTGACTAAGATACAAAAAAAAATTTACAGAATTAAGTAGTTTTATAACTAACCTATTAGTCCATGTTAAAGATGAAAAAATGCATGTCAAAGTTGAAAACAGAAAATTTCAAACCTCTTTTAACATGTACGCAAGTGTGATATTTTTTCTATAGTTATGTCGGGCCTTTGTTAAATATATTTAAATATGTTTTTTTTTTTTTGCTAATATATGTAAATATGTTATTTATAAAAATAGTATCAATGTAATTATAATAATTAAGTAATCTTATATTTATCTTTAATTTTGTAGCTATGATTATGATCATCATTATTATCTTATACCTTCTTATTTTCTCTCATCTTAATATAGTATCAAGAACTTAATGAGGAGAAAATTCTAAATCATCCTTTTCCTATGAGCCCACTACTTATAGATATAATTTTTTTATATTCTTTTAGGTCAATCCTATAAATAAATATCCTATAAATAAATGAGATGTGTGCAATAATGTGAAATTTAGCATCATTTTTATTTGAAAATTTTTCATATATAAAAGATAAAAATATATCTTCATGTAAATGTAATATTATTTGAATTACTTTAATATTTTGTGATATATATTTCAATTCTAAAATCATTTTCATTACATTTATAAAAATTATCTTTTTAATGGAGATTTTTTAAATTTATATTTTGATTTTACATAAAGTATAAAATTGTAACAATGAATTATCATTTAATTTTTTTTTTCTGTTTATTAGAATTTGACACCTTTATCTCAAGTGAAGGTTAGTAAGAAAATATTTTGTTAAATTTTGTTACTCAATAAGTTTTTAATCTAAATTAGTATTCTTTATCACTTTATATCTATACAAGGTATAAGCTGCGTTATAATCCATAAAATTATAATATATAATATAAATTATATTTATATAGAAATATTTTTCAAATTATTTTATTAACTTAATTTATACAATTTCATTCTGAATTATATTTTAAATTAGAATATTTTATTTATAAAATTATAGTTCAACTTATATTTATATAAATAAATGTTTTTTGTTATTTTTTTTAAATTGTATATTTAATTTATTATTAATTAAATATTCTTAGAATTCATGTATTTCATATTGAAATTTAGATACTAACGTGTTATTAATTATATTGTTATTTATATTTAAACATTGAGTTTTATTTGTCAAATATCCTTTTTTCTTTTAGCATGATATTATTTATATTTAATATTAAACATAATTAAAACTTCATATATTAAATATATTTTTTCAATAAATTTGTATTAATAGTTTTAATAAATTTCTATATATGAATATTTGATAAAAAAAAAAATAGTGTAAAATATTTATTTAATTATATACATATTTAATGATATTTATAATCTTATAAAATGTGATAAAAAAAGGTTTGTTTTAAAATTTTATTATTGTATTATATGACTCAGTGTTGAAAGATGTTAAATTATATATTTAATGGTTGATTATATCAAAATATTTAATTGATTAGTTTAATAAAATATATAAAATGTTCAAGCTATTTTGTTTGATAATTTTGTATATTTTAATGTTAAAATCAATTAAAAATATGTGCAAATTGTTATTTATTGTGATAATATTTTTTTATTTATATCTTTTTAAATTTTAAAAATAAAAGTTGTTACTTATTTTTTTATTACTTTATATATTTTTTAAATTTTTTGTAAATATTTATTTTTGTAATATTTTAATATTAATAAATTTTTTATAAAAATTAAATTATTAATTGATGGATAATAGCTAGAGGTAATTTAGAAAGAAAACATGTACATTATTTTATTAAAAATTAGTCCTCTTATTTTTTTAAAAATATCTTATAATTTACTTTAAGTCTCAATTTATGTTGGGTCAATCCTATCCATATATGGTCAACGTGTTGAAATCACTTGATTGACATGAAGGAGAACAAAACTAGTGATGGTTTCTGTATGTAAAATATTAACATTAAGACTTTTTATAGGAAAAAAATAGATATTTATTTTTAACTTTATTTAAAAAATTAACATTAATGAATATTATCCTTAATATATTTGAATTCTCTTACAGTTTTAATGGTGTGTATTAATATTACTTAAATTAACACATTTGTTTGAATTTGCATCTTGGCATATTCATGGGCTATTTTACTGACTTGAATTTGATAACTATATGATGTGAGTTTTGGCCTCTACAATCAACCTCTATATCTAACTTATCCAAATACAAAATTTAATTTTCATAATAAATTATAAATATAATTATTTATTAAAATATATATATCTTTTCAGATATACAAGGATGGTGAGAATTCAATTCAACAAGCAAGAGACACTGGGAATAGAAGATAAAACGATTCCATGAGCATTTTTGCAAGAAGCATAGGCATGTTTTCCTTGTTCAGCAGAGACTATGTTGATTTGATCCAATATGATACCGAAACAGCCTAATTTACTGCATCGTAAATCGATTGCTTTGGCATCACTCGAAGTTCCACTGAACTCCCGATAAGTCACTTCACTCACTTTCACTGCTGCATCCTATTTTTCCCAATTTCAAAACACAATCATAATAAGAAACAAACAATAAATAAATAAATAAAATTGAAATCACGATAAATAATATGAATATACCGATGAAATGTTATGTCCATAGTATTGGTCTATAATTATTGGGTTACGAGTATCTGTTAGTTTTATTTGCTCGAAGGTGATCTTTCTTGCATAACCTGATCCTCCCTGCATAAATAATTTATACAAAATATTAAAATAGAGAGAGAAAGTGAACAAATAAACCTTTTGTGTTATAGTAACAAAGTTATTCTAACAATTAACAACTTTAATTTTTCAATAAATTATTATTTTTTAATATATATATATATATTTAAAATATTAAATAATATAATCCCACTTCTTATTTAATTATTTTTAGTTGTTTTTTAATTAAACTTACGTAAACCTCACTCATACGCAAAAATATGTTAAAAGGAACATATTATTTAGCTTATTCCTATTTTATTGTCTCAATTATAAATCTCTAATTCTTGATTATACTCCTAAACCAATAGCACACTAAGTTTTATATATCACTGCTCATGCTTATTTCCCTAAGTACAAGCTTGTTTACTCACAGGCCATGTCTTGATTCTGGCTCCATTTGTGGTTCCCGTGAAGCTGCAATTTCTTACATGAACTTCTTCAACTGTTTCATGACCTTGATTTCTACCAAGACTGCCAATGCTGATTCATTCATACAATTTTTATGAGAAGTGTCAAAAAGAGTAATCACAAATTTGCAATAACAAAAATATAAACAGTTTTGTGTCAAGACTCATTTATGTGATAATTCCATAAGATAATAAACTTTATCTTTTCATATATGATTTAAGTTGAGGATACCACTTCCATATATGTGATTAAAACTCTTTGTTAGGTTTATGTTATAAAAGTGAACGCAATAGAAACTATGATACAATTTGTATACATAGACCTTATTCCATTGCCTGGTCCACAAGCAACCCCAACAGCACTGATGTTAGAGCAGCCACCATTGATAGCAATACAATCATCACCTATTTCCAAACGCAGATTAAATTAATGGCATAATACAGTAATTATTATTGAAAGGGTCTTGCTAATTACTACTTTCCAACTTTTTAATGCAGAACAAATAATCAGTTATGTCATAAATTTGATGTATTAGATCAAAACTTGATTTACCGGTTCCTATAGTGGAATCTTGGATCAAAATATTTTTGGAAGAAGCAATGTCGAATCCATCAGTGTTGGGACTGTGGGCAGGAGCATGAATATTGATTTGAGAGAATTTTGCACCCTCGCAACCATTGACAGATATGTGAGCTCCAGGGCTATTCATCATCCTTAGATATTTCACAGTAAGACCATTGCAACCATGGAAACGCAAAGCCTGAATCACATCCACATGAAAAATTTAGTCAAAAAGTGTTCTTCAAAGCGATAATCGCAAGATCTTGAAATTAAGTTATTAATCAATCCTTTGGATGAATTTAATTGTTCTAATTATGTTAAATAATATTGTGCCAAGTAATTGTGGGAGAACAAAGTTTAGAATCATCATACTGTTGGTCGTTTACAACTTTTGCATTGCCACCAAGTAGAACCATAGCCATCAAACATTCCTCTTTTGGCATCAATTGTTAAACCGTTTACATTTGAGATCACTATCCAACTTGAGTTATCACTAATCCATGCATCCTTAGAAGGTGCAATTATTTTCCCTGCATGCTGCAAGAAAATAGGCATTTAAAATAAAAATAAAATCAAATAAGAGAATCAAATAAGTAGCTCTCTTTATGACATGGAGAGTTTTGAATAATTATTACTTATGAAAGAATACTTGATTTGAATTATTTCTTGTTGTTATTCAAAAGTTTTGAACAGTGCTCACCAAAAAGAATGACTTACATTTTCCTCTCACTCTCTTTTTCTAGAAAAACTATTAAGGAGGGTATGTTGAAAACAAAATTTCATTTGATAATATGTACAATATCAAAATTGCATTGAATATTTTTATATTTGATTTTATTTTATATTTTCTTCATTATTCAATATGGAAATACTTTTCAGAAACTAAAATATATATATATATATATATATATATATATATAAGTGATTGTTATGACATACTATAATGGAAATAGCGATAGGGAAGTTATTAAAATGAAGAAAAGTGAGACTTATTAGGCCTGTTTGTTTTCTCTTTGTAAATATAATTTTGTTTTTAAAATTGAAAAACAGAAAATTTTATTTATTAATGTAAGTTTTAAAAATCAATTTTAGAAATAATTTTTATTTTCAGTTTTGAAAACTGAAAAAACAGAATTACTGTTTGGATACTTTTGTTTTTATATTTTCTGTTTTTCTTTTTAAAATTAATAAAAGTTTAACTGAAAGCAGATTTAAAAACTAAATTATCAAAGAAATTTTATCTTTTTAAAATAGATTTATAAAATTATTTTACAATATAATTTTTAAAAATTAAAAAATAAACTTAAATCAAACGAGCTCTTAGTTTTATTCCCTTCCGTACGTCGTTGTTATAACATTCAATCTTTTCATATTTGTTTATTGGTACAAGGATTTCAGAAATTGATCTAATATTCAAATTGTAAAAACTAGATTAAAATAAATTCAGCATAAATTCATCTTTGCTCTAATTTATTATAAGAATTTCACAAATTTATAAGGAAAGAATGTATGTATTTTTTAATTTATATGAGTCAATGTATTTATATTTATTTAAAAATTCAAATTATTATACCCAATAATTATAAATTGAACTATACAATAGCTTACGATGAAATATTGAACATTTTATATAAATTTCTTTCTTTTTTTTTTTTTTTGGGTATTCAAAGTTTTATTTATTATATGTTGTCTCTAAAAAGAAAAATCAAATAACCGACCAGATTAGATCCAATTTAATATTACATTTTATCTAATTAAAATAAATTAAACTTTATTTTCATAATCGAATTGAATGAAAATTTACTTAAAATTAATCAAAATTAAACTGCAAAATACCCCTACCTTATCATCAAAGCCTGAATGAATGAATATCAAATAGTTTTCTCACAACATGCACATATGTTTCCAAAACACCATTAACATATAGTAATCCGATAAAAAGAAAAGGATAGTAGCTATACCTCAATGCGAATATTTGTGGCCTTGCAAGGACCGTTTAGGTTTAATTTCTTCACCAAAAACACTTTTCTTGGTGGTATGAACAGAGTTGCTGCACTTTCTGCTTCACACGTGCGTTGCCATGCACTTAAAAATGCCTATAACATCAATTAAAATACATCTTATTAGAAGGGTCACTCAATTGGTTGAAACTATCACAGTCTATAGTATCAAATGCTTTATTAGATATAAACTTCTCCTTAAATAGAAGCATTAATGTTCTCATGATGTATACATAGATTAAGATTATATTGACAATAAAGCAGAAACTCGTATATATACATACATGTGAATCATCCGTTTTTCCATCGCCACGAGCTCCATGTTCCATCACATTAAAATAAATCGTTTTGTTTGATCCAATCCTCCTTAGACACAAAGAGGGTGAAACAAAACAAAGAATCAAAATACAAGCGATTAACCCTTTCATGCTTAACTAGAGTATATGATAGTGAATAGCACACTTAGGAAGATTAAGAGTGCTAAATTGATTTGCGAAGGGAGAATAAGTGTAGGAGCTCATATATAGAAGCTTGCTTCTCTAAGTGGAAACAAATGATTAAGGAATAGGTTGAAATTAATATACGAAACTAAACATATTAATTTGAAAAAAAAAATTATAAGTTAAAATATCCTTATATTAATGGTATATTAATGGTATAAAAAAATTATCCTGAAAACATTATTCATCTTAAAAGCAACTACGTCTTGTGGCCAGACAAATAATCCACATTGACTAACAAGTATTCAATATGTTGTATTAAATACTTTTTATTGATTTACAAATCATTTATTATATTAAATATATAGAAAATAATCTAATACTTACCACTTTAATTTAATTGATTGAAAATATTTAGTTGAATCCAATAAAGGAAAATGGTAAAGAAAAATGTGATTCTTTAATTGTTAATATTCAAAGTTGTATGTATCTCTTTTTCATTGTAATCAATGAGATTAGAAAATTACTGAGGTAGATAAAGTTTGTTAAGTTGAATCATATTTTCTAAAAAACTAACTAGAGTACTTGGTTGATTAAAATAGAATAGAAGTTGAGTTGTTTTTTTTTTATTGTTTTGACAACAGACTTTCTTTTTTAGAGTATTTTTAAGATTAGCTGCTTTAAAGATTTTGTAGCCTAGAATTTTGATTTACGGGTTTGTTTATTTTTGAATTTTTAAGTCTATTTAATAATTAAGAAAAAAGTTAAGAAATGAAATAAATAAAATTTTTCAATTATATATAAATTTTCTTAATTATATATAGACGTCTCAATTTTATTTTATTTTTCAATTCCAGCACGGCGGTGCCTATTTAACTATCTAAAATTTTGTTCAATAATGAATATTTTTAACTTAACAAAAAATTATTAAAATGATTAAATATAAGAAAATATTTAAAAATCATTAATTAATTAACTATAATATTTAATAATTATCTTTAGAAACTAATTAAAGATTTATTTATTTATTTATTTATTTATTTATTTTTGCTAAAGGAAACTAATTAAAGATTTTAAACACATTTAATGAAAGATATTAAATATTTATTGATCAACTAATATGTTTTGGATAGTCATTATTATAGGCTATGTGGATAGAAGACAAATCACATGTAAGTTTTGATTTTTTTTTATTTTAATTATTTTAAGATTTTTTTTTAACATACTAGTTAGTAATCCATGTAATATATATATAATTTTAATATAATTATATATAATAAATTTATTAAAAAATTTATTTTAATAAGTCCGTTAATTTTATAGAGAATGAAAGTTGACAAGTCTGTTCAAGTTTATTTTGTTAAAATATAAAGTAAATATAGCCTTAAATTATTATATACATGTCAATAATCTTCTAGTAAACAGAATCAATAAAAAAGTGATTAAGGACAGTGTGTATAATATTTTATATATATATATATATATATATATATATATATATATATGAAATGATTAAATTTATTAATGGTTTCTTATAAACTCGATATTTTATAAAAGCATAAATAAAAAATATAATATAATGATAAAAGAAAAAAAAGAATAGTTAACTAATGTTAAAATTATGAAAAGTAATGAATAATAAATATTTTAATACTGTAAAAATGAAATGAAATGAAATAGTGTCATACAAATTAATTATATTCATAAATTTTGTTTTCAATTTTTTACTAAATTAATTTATTTCATTATTATATATTATTGTTATTTATTACTTTTAGAATTTTTATTATAATAGTATTACATTAGTACGTTTAATTATGCAATACTTTGTAAAAATATTACCTTAGAAATTGTTTAATTATTAGTATTAGTATTTTTACAGTATGATTTATTACTTTTGGATGATATTATTTTATTTTCAATCCTTCTTTTACTTATGATACGAGATAGAAAATAAATAAAAATAATAATATTTTATCTTTTCTTGAAATTAATCTGATTTTCAAAAAATTTATAATACCAAATAAGTTATACAAATATTGTTAAGCATTGAACAATTTAATCTTTTATATTCTTATTTAATCTTTCTATTTAATATATAATTCTTCCTATTAATATTTTACATTCTTATTTGATATTATAATCTTTGATGAATAAAGTCTTTTAGGTTAGAAAAAAAAGGGAAGAATTGAATCTATTTTATAAATAACTTTTACAAACTTAAAAATAAGTGATTTTTTAAAAATGATAAGTTCAGTTTAACATTAAAAAAATAGTTATATCATAAAGAAGTAAAACTATAAAATTTAACAATTTCTTTTTTGTTTTCTCGAGTTACTTCCGATCTTTAACTTTAAGTAAGGCTTTTACTATTTTATAAGAAATTATCAACCTACATTATCAAATATTATTACACATTTCTCTGTGCACAAATGGTTTCCACGTATTATTTTTATAAATGTTTATTTAGGTAATTACACTCCCTAATATTACTTTCTTCAAGTTTTCTATACATCGAAACAGTAAATTTTTTATATAAAAAGATTAAAAAAAAAAAAGGGCTTTCATTACTTTGATAGTTTGAGATTCACTACCTTGGTCTTTTTCGTGTTGTGCAAGGATGTGTGTATCTTTGTTATATAATATATATGTGAAAAATTTATGTTACACACATTCATCTTTCCTTTACATTGAAGAAAGCATTTCATTGGATCATCAAACTCGTTTTGCAAAACATCTTAGTATAGATATTTAAAAAGTGACAAGTAATGAAATCAAATCGAGCAACTAATTATTCTATCCTTATTAATGAAAAAAACTCATTAAACAATAAAAAAATATATGCAAAAATCACAATTACAAGTGTATGACTCCTCCTAAGCTTTGTTTAGAGGTTTGGAGTGAGGGAGAAAAGAAAGGCTTAAAGAGGAAGGGAAGGGAGGGAGAAGGAGGTTAAACTCCTCCCTTGTTTGGATGTTTAATATTGAAAGGAGAGGGTGATGGGAGGTTAATTATATAAATAATATTATATTTTATATCTTTTATTTATATTTTTTATTCTTACAAAAAATTAAAAATAAATATTTTTTTTCTAAAAATTAATATTTTTAAAATTACTATTTTTATTGTTTATAATTTTTTCAAAAAATAATCACTTGAAAAATTAAATTTTTTTTTTTTAAAAAAAGTTAGAATCCTATTTATGAAAGAGTATTTAAAGAGTGAGAGAGAGAAAAGTTCAAAATGGAAAAACTCAAAAAAGAAGGGTTAGGAAGATTTTAGAGGATTTAGAAAAAATCTCCCAAAACCTTCCCCTCTTAGGCTATGCTAGTGAGTTAGGTTTAGGAGGAGAAGGGAGGGAAAGAAATGTGATAGAAAAGAATTTAATCTTATTTAAGAGTTGCTTAATTAAGAGAAAAAAGCTTTGGAGTTTTTTCTAAATCCTCCTAACCCTTCTTTTTTGAGTTCCTTATTTATTTGAAAGTTTTCTTTCTCTTACTCTTCAAATACTATTTCATAAATAGGATTCTAACTTTTTAAAAAAAAAGTTAGTTTTTCAAGTGATTATTTTTTAAAAACATTATAAAAAATAAAAATAGAAATTTTAAAAATATTAATTTTTAGAGAAATATATTTATTTTTATTTTTTGTAAAAATAAATAAATAAATAAATGATATAAAATATAATATCATTTATATAATTAAACATTCATCACTTTCCTCTCTCAATATTAAACATCCAAATAAGGGGGGGTTTAATTTCTTTCTCCCTCCTTCCTTTCTCCCTTCAAACTCTTCCCCTCTTTCTCCCTTTAAACTCCTAAACCCCGGCTACCATAAAAGCTAATGATAGACAACAACTCCTCCCAAACATAACTTACAACTTTCATCGTATTATGCTCTCCAAAGAGCAACTTTTTTAAAATCTCAAAAGATGCTGAATTTGAATCTCATTTTAATTAAGGATTCTTGTATTTATGGAGAATCCAACTAGGAATGGAGAACTTTTTCTCTCTCTCCTTTTTTGCTCGACTATTTAATCTTAAAAATACTAATTTTTAAGAATGAGTGATTGCCTTTATCTAACTCTTACTGTCCAACCTGAGAGCAAATAGCTAATGCCTTCCACTTTTTGAACAATATTTTATGGTTGTTCTGCAACCCTGGGATGTCGAAGGCGTCCTTAAAATGATCTCGTAGTTCCTTTGGGTGGAGATGATGGGATCAGTCTATGGATTCTTTTTATTTTTTATTTGCCACATTTCACTCAAAGAGTTAGAAGGGTGATAGGGCATCAAGAAGCCTAAGGTGTTTTATTTTATTTTATTTTTATCATCTTACAAACAATTTTGAAAACTAAGTTTTACTCTCATTTTTTTTTAAAAATTAAATTAAATTATTTTAAAATATAAATTTTAAAAAATAAAAACCAAAACAGGACAGACTTGTGAGATTAATATTTTCGTTAAGAATACCCTGCACCTAAAATTATATTTCTAGAATTGGAATCCCTTCTACAAACTACAAACTCCCGCTGAATAAAAGTGTTGCTTTTACTTAATGAAAAGGATTATTTTTAAGTAATTATACAAAATTAAAATTGTTTGTTTGGATTGGGTTATATTATTACTCAGATTGGACTTCCGAACCATATTATGAAATTCCTAAGTTTTATTATACAGAAGATTTTTAAAGTGCAACACCTCTTTATATCTTAAACAATCTTTAACGGCATATTATATTTTATTAGTTTCTTAATGTTCACGGGTAACAATCGTTCTTTGTTTTTTGTAAAAGTAACGTTGCTGATCTTTGAAAATTGGACTAATTTTTTATTAAATTTCTTGTAAGTAACGGTTGCAGGGTTAAATTTGATCTTAAAAAAAAATACATATTTAGAATATGTTTGATTTTTTTTTTTTAAAAAAGTTTTCTATTTTTATTTCTAAATATAGTATAAATTTATACTACATTTAAACAAAAAATTAAAAGAGAAATCAAACATACCATGTCTTTAACGGTACGAACATAGATATAGTTGAATACCAAGTTTAATCAACTTCTTATTTAATATTTTTTTAAAATGATAATATATATAATAAATAATTAGAATAACAGCGTGACCTTAAGAATTATCAAACGAATCAGCAACATCAACGGTAGCATGCTGGGAATTTACAAACTCATGCATAGCAAAGAACTTTAGTCTACAAATTAGTATGGTCATTCTTCTCAGTCCTCTAACTAGTCCTGAAAGCCACTGCTAGTTGTTCCCCAAAGCCTTGTGCTTTCCCAACCAAACCTGATTCTAACTTATCCCTGTGTTATATATTATCAAGTAGCATCACTGTCCTAAACATCAACTTCTGAAGTGAGAAGTGACAATCAGTGTTTGTCCCTTCCGCACTCCGGAGGCTACAACTGAATACAGTTGTTTGTAGTGTGCTCAATCTGGAGTGTCCTTCCTTTGTGCCAATAATTATAGAAATAGGATAAGTATCTTTGCTCACATCTTTGAAGCACTAAACCACCAAATGCTGCACTTTTAAAAGAAGGATCATGAGCAATTACAAACTGGCAAATGGACATCAACAAAAGAATCTTGAAATTTGAGTTACTCTTGTGTTGGAAAATTAGTTAAGAATTAGTAGATGAACCAAAAAATCTATTATAATATTCTATAAGAACATCGTATCAGAAGACGAGAAAAGAAATTATAAAAGATAAATATATTCTTAATAGGAACGAATAGTAATATACTTTAATTTTAAACAAAAATCTATTATAATAAATTTATGTGTTTCACTAAAGTCTAATTATAATAATTTTTAGAATTTATTATAATCAATTTTTGTATAATAATTATTTAAAAAAAAGTTAATTAAACTTTTATTTATACAATTCAAGACGTATTTGTGAACATATTTAAATAGACCAATATAAGTAATTTTTTATTTTATTTATGTTAAAAAGCCTTTTACCCATTTCAATCATTTGTTTTCACATTATCCTCCTTTTAAAAATTTATTTTTAAATTTACTTTTCCAAATCAAAAGTCTTTACTCTAACTTCATTTTCATGTTGGATCATGATCTCTTTTTTTATTTCGCTGATCCTTTTGTCTATCAAACTGAACTAAGTTCACCCAATTCAGTAACTAAGATGGCGCAAGTCAAGAACAAGCAAGTGCTCCTAAGGGACCATGTCACTGGTTTTCCTAAGGAATCGGACATGAACATCGTAGAAAGTACCATAAATTTGAAGCTTCCGGAAGGTTCCAATGATGTTCTTCTAAAAAATCTATACTTGTCTTGTGACCCTTACATGCGGGATCTTATGAACAAACCAGAAGGGCTTCCCAAAAGCCGTTCTTACACTCCTGGCTCTGTAAGTCATCTTTCTTTATTGCAAAATATATAATTTTTTTTTTAATTTGATTTTCAAAATATATAATTTTTGTTTATATAAATTAATCTTTGAAAGAAGAATTTGTTGGCCTGATGGTAACATTGGAGGCTAATTTGCATAAATTAAAATTTTTGAGAATATGCAACACAATTAATGAGTATTAAGTACTGTCCAACGCCTGGATCAAATGGCATAGAGTTATTTAGCTTGATTAGTGGTCTTAAGTTCGCGTATTGGGTATGGAGCTGTGTTAAGTACTGAGATTCTACGAGCCTCGAGTAAGATTTACCTGATAGAGGATACCTGTGGTATTGACCATAAAATGAGTATTGAGTACTTTGTTTGAGAATTCAAAGGAATTGTTGCATATTAGGAAGTTGGTTATACAATTTGAGGTTAAAAATCCTTAATCTTTGTGGTTTGTTTTAGTATTATTTTTTTTCATTTTTTAATTTAAAATTGAAGTTAATCAAAGAATGTGCAACATTGAAAATGCATTTGAAGCATAGATCTTTGCAGCCAGTGATGATTGTTGAGCAATTTGCAGCCAATAGCAGGATATGGTGTGTCTAAGGTCCTGGAATCTGGACACCCAAACTATAAGGAAGGTGATTTGGTGTGGGGCTTTACCAAATGGGAAGAGTATAGCTTGGTCCCTTCAGCTCAAATACTTTTCAAAATTGAGCACACTGATGTCCCACTTACCTACTATACTGGAATTCTTGGTTTGTATTCAATTATTTCAGTTTATATTGTTTTTGAATGAAGCATGTACTTGATAGTGATAATGATTTAAACTGCAAGTTGCATAAGTGATAAATGGCTACTCAGATTACTGTCATTAAGATAATGAGTTAGCCATCATCATGGAAGAAACCTGCTATGTGGTGGTGGTTGTCTCTGCCTTTTATTCCTGTACCCGTTGTCCATCATCTTCTTTTGTTCAGTGAAGGTTATATGACTTGAATTGATCTTTTGATTCATCAGAGTATTTGGAAGCTTTATATAGGAAGAGAAAACTGTATTAAATGACTTTTATGCTCATTTGGAATTCAAAACTCACTGTCTTTTATAAATCTGTTACAGCCACTTATGGGTGGTAAACTCCTCAGTTTATATTATTTATTTTGTACTTTTTTTTTTGTTTTATTTTCTGAGTATACATTTTGCTTCTTCAGATGACTGTGGCAAGAATGGAAGAAAGATTTTATGTTAATTACAAACCTTTTCTCAACATATGAAGTTTTTATGCGATAATTAGGCCCTTGTTATTCTTGTATCATTAAGATTAGGGGTAAACTTCATAGAAGAACATATTGTGTAGGACTTGGTTTTCTAGTTGTTTATTAATATGTTCCTTTTCCATTTGCTTTTTTTGTTCACTTATATTTATTTGGCTTGAATTGATCATTGATTCACTAGACTAGTTGGCTGACCAGGTTTGTTAAGTGAATAAACATTACATAAATGGCTATTTTCATTTGGAAGTGGTAGTTAAATTCTTTTGTTTATCTATTGCAGCACATCTACAATTCTGTCATGAACTCTTCTCAATTTATATTAGGCTTTTTTGTTCTTAATGTTCTGACTATACATGCTTCCTCTTCATTTTGTTGTGTCTTGATTTGATAATGCATTTTCATCTTTTAACACAGGTATGCCCGGAGTGACTGCATATGCAGGTCTATTTGAAGTAGGCTCTCTCCAGAAAGGAGAGAACGTTTTTGTTTCAGCTGCCTCTGGCGCAGTTGGTCAACTTGTTGGGCAATTTGCTAAACTTACTGGTTGTTATGTTGTCGGAAGTGCTGGAACTAAAGAAAAGGTATTTTTGTAATTATTGAAGTCATATATACCTGCAATCTGGCATAAGTCAGCACCACCTATTTCTTATTTGTTTGAGACTACCTTTTTTTTTGGTACAAGAAATACTCCTTTTAAAGTTAGCTTATTTAACTTATAAAAATATTCCTGCGGATCTTTTAGCTTGAGCAATATTCCCCTTACATAAGCCACTTCTTGATAACACTCAGACACCTTGCATACATTTTTTGGTTTTCGATGATTATTGGTGGACCTAAAGTACATGAAATTTCTTTTAGTCAATGGAGCATATGGTTACTTATGTCAAAAGAATGTATTACTCTGTGGTTCTAAGCACAAATTCAGCTAAACATTCAACTCCCTCCCCCTCATCAAAAGAAGAAGAATCTAACAAAATAAATTGTGACAGAGATTATTAAATATTGTTTTTCTCCTAAACTTATAATATAAACAGAATATAGTAAAGGATAATGATGGCAACTCCTGAAATAGATTCAGTTTTATTAGAGAGAGAAAAGAACATAGTCCTTTCACTTGAATGTTTGCCTTTTACAATCAGGTGGATCTACTGAAGAATAAATTTGGATTTGACGGCGGTTTTAACTACAAGGAAGAGCCTGATCTCAATGCAGCTTTGAAAAGGTATGTACTTACCGGTTTTATTTTCTATTTGACTTTTTTGATGCCCATAAAAAAGTTAAATTACTGTGGCGAATAATAAAACACAGTACAGTAGTGACTAGTGTATGTCAACATATAAATCAGGCACTTTCCAGAAGGCATTGATGTATACTTTGAGAATGTTGGTGGCAAGACACTTGATGCTGTACTCCTGAATATGAGAGTCCATGGCCGCATACCCGTCTGTGGAATGATCTCGCAGTATAATCTTACTCAACATGAAGGTGTAACAAACTTACCCCATATGATATACAAGCGGATCCGGATGCAAGGTTTTGCTTTCCCTGATTATTATCACCTATATCCGAAATTCTTGGAGTTTGTCCTGCCTAATATCAGAGAGGGGAAGATTGTGTATGTGGAAGACATAGCTGAGGGTCTTGAGAATGGCCCTGCAGCCTTGGTTGGCCTTTTCAGCGGCCGCAATGTTGGAAAACAAGTGCTTGTTGTTGCACGAGAATAGAAGAATTTGCATTTTCATGCACTGTTATATTGTTAGTATTTTTCTTTTTGGCTTTTTGTTCAAAAGTTGTCTTTGTATCCCCCCTCCCAGTTTTCATCTTCATCAAATCTATGATGATGCTCTTTGTTCCTGTTAAAAGTATCCATGTATTATGTAGTTGTTCCTCATGAATAAAAGCATTTACCCTTTTTTTTTCTATACTTCGTTATATTATCAGTTTTTGTTCTTTATACTACATTTAGAAAAAAAAAAATAGAAAACTCTTTTTAAAAGAGAAATCAAACATATTTGGTTAGTTTTTTCTTCTCTCGTTTCTTGAGATAGTTTTGATTTAATAAAATGGTTTTTTTTATCAATCATTATGGAACATTCATTGAGATTAGGTACTTAGTGGGGTCAAAGTTATCCCCAAAGACTCATGGTGAACCATAGTCCATAAACTTGGATATTATTAGCTAGATCATGAGACCAACCCTTTTGAAACCCCCCAAAAGAAATCCTTCACAAAACAAAAAAATAATAATTCTGCAAATCCATGTATAAATTAATATAAATTATGTATTTTTATTGAAATATGTATTTTTTATTGGAAAGTGTGAAAATTATTCTTTTCACCCTTTCATTCCTCTAGGGACATCAAATAAATTTCATGACTTCAAGATAAGATGAAAAGTAGTGACAGATATTTGACTAATGATTTTCGTCTTTCGTCAAACCAAGACGCTTCAACAGCTCTTGGTGTGGAAATGAATAGAATAAAACAATTTGTTTTGTTTCATTTTCTTTAGTTTTATCTGGAATTCAGCTATTTCACTTTTTTTAATTCTATAAATATTTTGTTCTGTTTTAAACATGCATCATGCATAAAATAAAGCTTACATATTTAGTTGTGTCTCATTTTAGTAGGATCATCAAATGCTACTGATGACAATTCTGAATGATTTGGTAGTTGAAAATAAATTATTCTTATAATCTATTTAAGTACATAAAAAGAGATAAAGCATCACTGCAATGGCTTATACCTTATAGACATTTTTTTAATTCTTTTTCTTTTTCTTTTTTCTTTTTGTTCACTTGAGGTTTGAACTCGAACAAGAGGGACGGGCACCTACTACTGACCCAAAATGAGTTGATACACAGCACATGCCAAGAAAAAAAAATCTCTCCATAACAAAGTCGAGGTTTTAATTTATGACAATTTTTTAAAACAAAAAATAAATTTTATATATATATATATATATATATATATATATATACACGGAACGTGATCATTTTATACTAGTAGTGTAAATTTAAAAACTCTTCCCCTCTATCTAAGGCTTTTTTGCCTAGCTAAGGCTAAAGGAGAAACAAATTCTCCAAATAGGGTTGTTTCATAATAAATACGGCTGACGTGGAAGTAGTGTCGGAAGATACATAGCCGACACAATATTATTTTTTTTTTGAAAATTAATAGTGTCGTCAAATTGCTGACACAATTAAAAAATTAACGGACAGATTTTTAAATTATTGATTTACGGTTGCACACCAAACACGTGGAGGCTGTCTAGTGTGTCGGACGGCTCAGATCTGACTTTAGTATCGGTATTGCTTTTGGCGACAAAAATGTCAGTATGCTCAGGACCGACACTCATATGATTGGTTCACGTGGCACTGCTGCAGGAGGTCCCGCTCGCCCCTCCCTCTCTATGCCTTTGTGCTTCATCTTTGCATTTCTTCATCTTCTTCATTCAGAAAATGAAGAGCTTCATAAAATCTGGCAAAAACGAAAACGCAGAGGGTAAATATTTTGCCATTTTAAAATTTGTAAGGTAAGAATAAATGACTTTTTTCTATATTAGATATTAATATCAATATATTGTTTTAAAAAACTAATTTTGTTTATCCATTTTTGTTGCAGAATCTATTTTAGGAAGATTGCAAAATTGAAAGGGGCTTTCGGGTGGTCCACCATTTCCATTCTCACGTGAAAAGGTTAGTGAAAATGAGGATTATAATTTATTTTGTTGTTTTCTGCATTTAAAAAATAAAAAAAAATAAGAAAATATGAAAGTAGGAAAAAGATAAAAATAGAAAAATAGAAAAATATTTCAATTAAAATTTATAATATTTTTGTTTTTTTATGTAGAAATTGTATTTAAAAGTAAAAATAATGATAATATTATTTAGTTATACAAATATTATTATGTTAAAATAACAAAATTTTTAACGTATATAAGTATAAATTAATTGAGAAATATAAAATAATTAAATTAGATAAATATATGAGGAAGAATTATATGTGATTATTAGAATGTTACTAAAATAAAAAAATAATTATAATAAAATAAAATTGAAATAATAAGAATGAAATATGTTAATTAATAATTTTACATTATTAAAAAAAGATGCAGTTGTTAAATTTGTAATAATATTTCAATAAATATTATGTCACATAATTAAGAAATTGTAAATAATTTAAAATTGTGGAAGATAAAAATTTAGTTATTCATCACTTAATTATAAAATGAATTAATTTGAAATTGAAAAAATTTTAGAGTGAAAAGAATAAGTAATTAAGTGAAAAAAAAGATAAATATATAAAATTTTAAATTAAATTAAATTAAAAATATTATTTTAAAATATAAATGACTGAAAAAAATAATTTGATAATTAGTAATTTAGACATTTGAATCTTTTAAAAAGTTTGTAGTTATTTATATGATTTTAATTAATAATAATAAATTTATGTGATAATTTAAGTTAAAAAAATAATTGTTAAATACATTAGTAAGAATTTAGAGGTTAAATTTTGTATAATGATATCTTGAAAATATAATTTTTGTTGTAAGCTATGATTGAAATATATGTTGTAAATTTACTAATTGTAGGTAAAGTTAGGAAAAGAGTTTTTTTTTTGTTAAAGTAATAATTGATAGAGTCAATTTTAAGATACAAATTGTTTAATAATGAAATGAATTTATTTTTATTAAATTTTTTTGCTTATATTTTACTTGTTTAAATAGATTTTAGATTACATCATCTTCATCTCGTGGTAGGGTGTTAAATCCCGGGCTTTGAGAATGACTCATTATTGCTTTATCAGTCAATTCATGTTTCAGAGCATATTTGGGATGACTGTGAATACCTAATTTTGAGAGTAAAGGGAGGTCATTTCATACATGTTGACATGGAGGGAGTTCCAGTAGAGATTATTTCTCATTTGACACTAGCAAGATTTGCCAAAGTAGCACAGTTAGCTAGTATTCTTGTTGATCGCCAACTGATTACAGGTTTGGTAGAAAGATGGAGGCCGGGGACCTATACGTTTCACATGCCTCCTGGAAAGTGTACTAATACTCTTCAAGACATTGTTATTCATATGGGTCTTCGTATTGATGGAAGACTAGTTATTGCCCCTACAGAAGGTGACAGGGCACAGATTGTTGAAGATTTGTTGAGAATTATACCACCTAGTTCTACATATTGAAACTTACTTGGTTGAATGAACATTTCTCTTTCATCTTCATAGTCATCATCGTACTCATCTTCTTCATCTGTACATGCACTAACAAATATTTATTAATAAATTATAAAATTTTAAACATAATATAATTTAAATATATATTATACATTACCTCTTCCAATTGCATACTCTTTTTCATTATCACTCATTTTAACAGTTGGGAGTGATAAATTTAAACATAACGAAGTTTCACCAATATGAGAAGTTTCATCAACCGCAATGTTCATATATAACTCAATTACATTTCTTTGATGTCGTTCTTGACAAGCACTTATCATATAGTCAATGTCTTCATCGTCACATACATATAAAACTGTGTAGTTTTCATTCCTTGCATCAACTAAAATTCGTGAAATCAATCTAAAAATTATATTACTGTTGCATAATCTCAATTTTGTATGTATTTTTTTTCAGCATCTCAAAAGTAATTCCACGTTCTATTTTAATCATCTTCTTATTCCTTTCAAATATTATACCCTCATTTTCTTCATACAGTCTTCCATTCCAATATAAAATAACAACAATTTCAGTCATCCTACATATTAAATTAAAAAATACAGCCAAATAAATTACGAAAGTATACCTAAACAAATACTAACAAAAAATATTACAAAAATATTAAAATAAAAATATTTATATTTATATTTTCAATAATATTATATTAACATTAAATAATTTTATTTATTACTACAAATATTTTTAGTTTCATTAATTTATCATAATATTATTATTATTTTAAACTTAATTACAATAATTAAAAAATTAAAACAATAACTTAATAATAACATTCTAACCTTTAGCTTCAGCTTCTCCTATACTCAGCAGCTTTTACAAAATATTTGACAACCAATACGTTTTGCCCATATATATATATATGCAAAATTAGATAAAAACTATGGGATAAAAGATTGTTCTTTGTGTTGCCCAAGCGAGCAGAGGATCAAACTAGGGCAGTGTCAGCGTCAAAGTTGCCGACACAATGTAAGTGTCGGCATTATACCTACCGACACATTAGTGTCGCTAAAGTGAAAGACGACACACATGTGTCGAACTATATTGAGCCGATACAACTGCAATAGTGTCGCTATTTTTTTGGCCGATACTTTACAATCTTACAACACTTTGAAATTACCCCAAACACGGTATTTTTTATTACACAATCCTATTTGAAAATTTTGTTTCTCCTTTAGCCAAGCCTCTATCTACTAACCCCATTCTTCTCTTAAAGGGGTATCTCCCCGATGAAAATTCCAAAGCAACACTTTAGAACTAGAAAATCAAGAAACATTGCCAAGTAATAAACGTTATTTATGATAATGAAATTTATTGACCAACCCCAAGACCTAACTAAGGTAGTAGAGTAAAGTTGTATGAATGTATGCTGCTAAACCTTCATCTGTCTGGTGTTTAAGATAAAAGGACATAATAAGATAATTTATCCTATCTTTTTTTTTTGCTAAGTAACATAATGTGATAGTTTATTTTATGAAGTTGTCATATTTTATTTTAATATTTCAAATTTTTATCCTAAAGGGGATAATGAGTTAAGAATCATTAAAATATTTTTTTTTCTTTTTTGCTCATACTTTTATACTCTTTTTATTATTTCACTTAAAAAAATATAGTTTTAATACTTTTATATAAAAATTATTTTACTCATTTTATAAAATATAATTTTAATTTTTTTATAATTTTTTTGGTTTTAATTCTAATTTATTACAAAAAAATATGTTAATTTTTAAAAATTGTATATAATTTAATATCAAAATTTTAATATTTTTGAAGAAAAAAATATTTTTTAATTCTAAATATTTTTTAATATATTTTTTATTGAAAATTAAAAAAGTTAAATTAGAAATTATTTAAATAACAATAATAATTTTGATAAAAGAATAATTTTGTGATTTAAATATAATTTATGTATTATTTTATTTTTTATTTATCTCAAACATTAAATAAAATGTGAAACTATTATTTATTTTGCTACCCTAATGTACATAAAATAATAAAATTTTATCCTTTTTTTATATCATATTCTGTCTTTATCTAATTCTAATGTCTTATATTTTTTATACTATCATGTCTATCAATTAGTCCATACTTCATATTTAGAATCACGGCAATGCTATATAAGACTCACATTAAAATTCTACTTCATATACGAGACTAAATTCCAACATTCAATTGTGTTGCAACATTTACAACATACTGGTTCTCTACAACATGTAGTTACAGTTTAACATCAACATTTTGAGTAGTTCTGAGTGAACACAACAATACCAATGTCGCTACCGCAAGCTGCTCATTTGCAGCTGTTGGACATAATGTTAGACTGATACCTATTGATATAACCTTAATCACACAATAATATGAAGGGTTTATTTCCTCTTCTTGACCATACAAGGACTAAAGGGATCAGCTTTCTCTCGTTCCTCTTTTTCTAAAATCCCTTCAATTAACAAATATGATTTCCCGTTCTTGTTTTAATATTCGGTCTTGTAATGATCAAATAGTTATTACAACTAAAAAGTGATCCGATCAAGCATTAAACCCAGAATTATTCACAACACCCAAAACTTTCCAACCATTTCAGGCGGTATGAGACCTCAATTTCTGTGGACTTTGGTCTATACTGGAAAGGCATCAATACTAAATAGCAAAAATCTTGATACTGCAACATCTTGAGTTGTAAATAAAAAAATGACACACAATAAACAGTGTACATGTAATTTGGGGTGTTGCTGATAAAAACTAGCTTCTAACATACAAAATAGTAAGTCCTGAACGGACAAGGGACATTCCACTACAGTTGTGTAACACTTCCAATGATGCTTGCTGTTATAGCCTAGAGCCTGAGGACCTACTATCCCATGTTAGGGGGTGGTGGAGGAAGACGGACACCCTGGCTCTGCATTTGTTGGGCTGGAAAACCTTGTGGAGGTGGCATTGACGGAGGTCTAGAACCCATGTTAAAACCCGAAGGTGGGCCACTGCCAACAGGGGGCGGGGGTGGGACAGATGGCATTCCACCAGGTGGAGCAGGTCTAGGACCATTTGCAGACATAGGAGGAGGAGGTGGCATTGATCCTGGCATTGGAGGTGGAGGAGCTCTAGGAGGATTTGTTGTAGGTGCACCAGGAGGGAGCCCTTGTGGAGGAGGTGGAGGTGGTGGTAGTGGAGCTTGGGGTGGTGGAGGCAATGGCCTCGGTGGCACACTGGATGCTGGGGTGCCATTAGCTGTAGAGGGAGGCTGTGGTTTGTTTGCCTCTGGTGGCTTGGTTTTAAAATACAATTGCAGCTGCAGAAAGGTATCAATTTCATCATTAGCGGCAGATAGTGGGCATTAATGAATGATGCACATTGCATCAACAGAAAGAACAAAGGAAAGAAAGTATGAAAGAAGAAAGGAGATTGTCAACCTAGTTCTGCTGTTAAATGCCTGATCCTGAATCACTAGTTTGCATCAATAGTAGAAAAAGGGAAAACAATGAAAATGCAAGAATGTGGATTTAATTGACCAATCTCATGTTTAGATGTCCAAGGATTAAGTACATGTGCACATTACTTAAGGTAAAAAAAATGCTTTAATCAATAGCTTTGAGATAAGCTTTTGGATAAAAAGGAATAAAATAGACTATTTCTTTAAAACAAACACTTCAAACAAGCAGCAAGTCCATCATAGTATCATAGCACCAAACACGTGTTAATTTTTGCATGCTCTGAGGATCATGGCATAAAGTTTCATTGGCACATACAAGTCTACAACTAATAATCATGAATGGGTTTTAATGTTTCTTTTCTTAAAAAGTACAAACCTATCATTAATTCTTAGTACCCCAAACACGGCTGTTTTTCCCATCAGTTTTTTTTTTTTCCATTTTGTTTTTGCTTGGATATCGGTGACATCAACTAATTCCCAATCACACATACAAAACATGTAAACACTTGGTCCATCAACAATAGGAAATACTAGTAAATGTACTAACTGTGAACATCTTTGAGTCAGGGTCCCAGTGTGAGAAAAACTTTGGAGTGGACTTGTCAATCTCTGTGCTAGGTACCTGAAATTGTAGATTAATCACTACAAAAGGAGAATTTCCAGAACTCAAAAACATAGGGACCATAGACAAAAGCAGCAATTTACCTTGAAAGCAACTATTTCATATGGTTCAGCAGCAAACAAAAGATACTGATATCTTTTATCAAATGGTTGCACCCTCTGTGACCATCAAACATAACCAGAGAGGAAAACAGAAATATTAAAACAAGGCCGTATTGACAACTTCATAACACTGAGAGATAGAGGTAAAGAGTAAACTCCCCCAAGTCAGTCCACAAGTTCACGAGGCATCGTTTTTTTAAAAAAAAAATTATTGAATAAGTGCTTAAATAAGCAGTTACCCAAACACACCATCAAGTGAATGTCATATTGCAAAGTTAAGGAGTAACTACGGTTTTTAAAATCCCACATACTAAAATACTGAATACCTATACAATCTCAAGAACTAATACAAGACTTTCCTAAGTAAATATTCATTTCAGTCCTTCAAATTAGGCCTATCAATTACTATAATCATTAACTCCACAAAATCTCACTTACATCCACGATTCACAAAACGACATTTATTTCAGTCCTTTAATATACAGAACAACAATTAAAAGTGAAGTAAAAAATGATGATACAATTAAAACGAGAAAAAGTGGATAGTAACTTAGGGCTTACAGGAAAGGTAAAATAAGGAAACGAGAGTGGACCTGCTCATATGAAGACATAAACCGGTGCCTGGGTTTCGTAAGGTCTTCAATCTCAGGATATTCAATCTAAAACAACACAAAATTAGAAAACAAAATCGAGAGAGAGAGAGAGAGAGAGAGAGAGAGAGAGAGAGAGAGAGAGAGAAGAACCTGGAAAAGGAGAGATCTCTGCTTGGTCTCAGGGTCGAACTGCTTAGTGACGCGATAGCCAGGGCGACCAATCTTAACGGTTTTGCGAAGGGAAACTTTGCGTTTGTGAGGTTGGGGTTGGGCGGGGGCGTCTTTGGCTTCGCGAGCGGCGCGTTTGGCTAAGTTGGTTTGGTGGCGTTTGCCCTGCGTGTGGGCGAGGTAGTTACCTTCGTTGTTGTGGAGTGTCAGACAGAGTTTGCATTCGTAGCTTCCGAGGTGGTTGCGCATGAAGTATGGATCCTTCGCTAAATCTATTGTCTCCAACGCCAGTCGCCGGAGCCGCTCTCGCCGGTCGATGGCTTCGTTCTGCGCCGAAGCCGCACCACCGCTTCCCGGCTTCGATCCCCATTCTCGATCCATCGTATCGTTCTATTGGTTTGAAGATGAAACTTCGGCTTTTATTTTGTCATCACTTTCCTTCCCTTCTCTGCGTAGCATCCTTATGTTCTGCTATTGGGCTTTCACGGTTGCCTCTAAAGCCCACCTTGTTTTTGCACTTTTTTCTTATTAATTATAATATTTTTTATTGTGTAGGATAAATTAAGAGAATATCATATATTTTTTATATATAAAATAATTTTTATTATTAATTTTATATTAATTAGATAAAATAAATAATAAATATTTTATAAAAGACATAAATTAATAGTCTATTTTAAAAAAATATATAAATATTTTTTAATTTTTAAAATATTAAAAGAATTACAACTGTTAATTTAAAAAAATTATAATATATTTTTTAAATTTATAAGTATTACAGTGAATATTTATTATTATTAGCCTCATTTAATTTTCTTTAAAAAAATTATTTTTTAAGTGGTAACAATTTAAATATAGTTTTAAAAAATATTGTTAAAAAATATACTTTATTATATATGGTGAAATTAAATATTTAGATGAAAAAAGAGATGTAGTTTTTTTTTCTTCACTTTCAAGGGCCTAATTTGAATATTTAATCTATTCTTTATATAAAGTTATTAAAATTTAAGTTAAAGTTGAAATTTTAATATAAATAAAATTTTTAAAAAATTAAAAATTAAACTTATCATAATTTAAATTATTTTAAATTAAAATTATAAATTTTGATAAATTTAAAATAAGCTTAATAATAATGAGTAAGTTCTCAAATTATTTTCCAAAATTATATAAATCATCCATTTTGGTTTACAAGATTTAATAAATGTTTTGTTAATTTTTAATTTTACAAAGTAGCATCCATTTAATGTTTTTAAGTATAAAATAACATATAGAAGACTAAAATAAATGTTTGTTTACAGAATAAAAAATTAAGAAATTTATCTTTAAAAGTTTTGTAATTAAAATGCATAATTTATATAATTCCAACTATTAACGTGACAAATTTTATACTAATAAATTTATATTTAATTAAAGTGGTTTACTTTAATAATTTATTTAAAAACTATATCCATTTAATTGGTTTATTTTCATTAATTAATTTTCTATTAAAACTATGTAATTTTTATTTTAAATTTGTTTAATTTCAATCTATTTCTTTAATTTATTTTCACATAATTGTAGTCAAACGAAAAATAAACATATAATACAAAAAAAAAACACTGATATTTATTTATTTATTAATGATGTAGGAAAAGACACAGATGGTATATGGAATGAAAAAGGAGAGAAAAGAAACGTTGAGAAAAGCAAACCCAGTAGTAGTGGAGTAGTCGGAGGGGTTTTCATACTTGAACGACGTCGTTCATTGAGGTTTTCTCTTTGCCGATCGAAGGTCGAAGATGTCGCAGCAAATGCAAAGCAGCAACAACATGGGAATCGCAGTGAGCGAGGTGTTTTGGACCCTCGTTGATAAAGCGGACAAAAAATTCTCCAAAATCAGAGACTTACCTTTTTACCAGCGTAGCAGGTTACCCAATTCATTTGTGCTCACTGTTAACATATATTGTTTCTAATTTATCTATCATAATTGGATTGGGTGCATTTTTTGTATTCATTAATTATTATTTGTAGGCAGATATGAGTTTGGTGTTTTTTAATTTAGGACACAAAGTTTTGTTTTTTTTTTTTTGTTTTTTACATGCACTAGTGGAATGAAATAAGAATTGGATTAATGTTATGTACTATGCTAAGAAATAGGTATTCACTGACTCATTGAGAATTGAGCTTTAAGTTTAGAATATTACATGTACCCCGAGGGTACCTATTGGATTGGTTGACCAACAAAGCAAAATTGTTCTGGTGGTTTAGGTTTAGATATGATACATGGTTTTTAAGGTGTTAAGTTTACATATAGTTGTGGATGATTTGGGCGGTTTTGTATTCAAATATTTAAGCCTTACATTGGTGGTCTGAATTTCATTGTTTTTGGATTAATGTATTGGTAGTTAATAATGAAGTGGCTTCTTGTAAATTTTAGTTAGTTTTCCAGAATAAAAATATGTTTAGAGGTTGCTATTGGCTTTGGTTGATCTCTAAAAGCAAGATTACTATGCATGTGGCTTTGCTGTAGGCATGATACATACTTTTTCAAGGTGTTCAAGGTGTACACACAGTTATGGAAGTTTCAACAGGAGAATCGGCAGAAGCTGGTTGAAGCTGGGCTTAGGAGATGGGAGATTGGTGAGATTGCATCTCGCATTGGGCAGCTGTATTTTGGGCAGTACATGCGCACAAGTGACGCAAATTATCTATCAGAGTCATATATATTCTATGAAGCCATATTGACTCGGGAGTATTTTAAGGAGGGGTTGTTTCAGGATGTGAATATTGCAAACAAACAATTGAGGTTTCTTGCTAGATTCATAATGGTGTGTTTGGTTTTGAACCGAAGGGAAATGGTGCAGCAATTGGTTAATCAACTTAAAGTATTAGTTGAAGAATGCAAGAGAACATTTCAGGTTTGTCCTTGTTAGTTTTCTCTCCTATACTTGGCTGAAACATAATTTAATTGCAATAATTGATTATGATATACAGGTACTGTATTTGAAAATTTTGTTTAGTCGTTCTGGTTTGTGCAAATGCCTATGTAAAGATTTTGCTTGTTCTGAATGGTGGCCTTGGCTTGTGGCATTGTCAATGGCTGTCTATTGTTTACAACCATGTAGACAATATGTTCTTTGAAATATAGGTCTTGCTATCTATTTGCCTTTGTATCTTGGAAGTAAATCATTTAGGTAGATGAGAGTAATTCACAATTGTGGTAAGGAAAAGAACAAATAGATTTAGCTACATAAGCTGACTAATATGGTTTCTCTAACTTATGACCACTGAGCAATGTAAATATGCTGGCCCAGAGAAGGATTCATTATGGCAGAGTTCCCAAATATGTCTTAGAATAAATATATAACCTAGTTTTACTGTAATAAATTTTGATGATTTATTTTTGGGGGCCAATTATTTTAAAAGATTTAGTTATTAGATAATAACTTGTATGACTGGTATAATATCTAATATGGTCCTTGTACTTGAACCTTTTGGGGTTGAATTGAAGTGTGGACAATGCATATGTCTATTTTACCTTATGTTAAAATTCAACTATGTTTAGAAGAATAGGTGTGGCAGTGATCAAACTTCCAACCTCTTGGTTAAGGATCAAGTTGGGTAAATAACATAGTTAAGCAGTTATTCAAGAAGAGCTTGCCACATGAGAGTTTATAGCTTACTTTGACAAGCTTCATCATGAAGCATATTAAAAATAAGCTAAAAAGAGCTTATTGGAAGGTAATAAACAGCTTTCATAAGCTTCATCACTCAGAAACTCTTCCAAAGACCTTAAAAGAGACTTTGATAACAGGTCAAGAACCACAAAATCTTAAGCTATTAGTTGAAGGCTTATATGAATGTTTTAATAGTTAACATTGGTCTGCTGTCTTGCTTGTGTTGAATGAATGGGTTTGGTAAATAAATGAAAAGCTAGCCATTGTAGTTGGAGAGCCGAAGGCCTTATAAACCCCACACTAGAATCCCATACTTTGAATGTGGGACTCAAGTCCCATAACTTGCAATTTGATTGTCAGAATAAACATCAAAACTAACTTCACAGATGCACAAAAATATTGATGTACTGCTTTAGAATAGAATAACTAAGCTACATTATACTAGACTGCTAATTGGAGTGTTCCATGAAAAACACGATGCTATCCAGTATCCAGAATATATTTTGATAGATTGATGTTTGCAGATGTATTGGAAGTGACCTTCAAACAATTTGGTTACAGGAAAGTGACTTTAAAGAATGGAAGCTGGTGGTTCAGGAAATAGTCAGATTTTTAAAAGCTGACTCTGCTTTTGTGAATATCCGGCCCTTGAGATATAGTCTAGTTTTGGACCCTCATCCTGATACTTTACCACATGTTGCTGCAGCCATCACAAAGCGACATTTGAAATTACGAGATGCTGTATTAACTAGTTTCCATCCAAATGAGGTAGGTATCCTGGACTCTCTTGTTTATCTAGTATTGAAGAACAATTGTTGAAAATAATAAAATCATACGGTAGTTTATTTACTGCAAGTAAGATATTCTGTAAAATGTTATGATCTTTTGATATTGTTTTCAAATGTCATTCCTAAACAGGTAAAGTTTTCAGAGCTCACTATTGACACTTTTAGGATACTTCAATGTCTGGAGTGGGAACCTAGTGGCTCATTTTACCAACCTAGTGGTTCAAAACTTAGTCAGAATGGGGCAACTGGAACTAGTCGTATCAGTTACATCCAAGATATTGCTGATCCTACCTTACCAGCAAACCCAAGGAAAGCTGTGTTGTACCGCCCTTCACTGACACACTTAATAGCTGTAAGTATGAAAATATGCAAGTTATATTTTCATCATATTTCAATAGTTTTTCATGTATGCATTGGTGCCTGGATCAAATTTACTTTGACTCCATGATAAAAACTCAGGAATTTAATGGAAAAGGATATGATATTTCATTAATTAGCTCTAAATAATAGTGAAATGTAATGTAATGCATAGCACTGATTTTGTAAACACTTACCCCACTATACCATTCACAATCTAGGTCATGTATGCATTGGTGCCTGGATCAAATTTACTTTGACTCCATGATAAAAATTCAGGGATTTAATGTAAAAGAAAAGGATATGATATTTCATTAATTAGCTCTAAATAATAGTGAAATGTAATGTAGTGCATAGCACTGATTTTGTAAACACTCCCCCTCCCCCCCTACTATACCACTCACAATTTAGGTCAAGTACAAGTGTTGTACAACTAGTACAAGCCTAACTCAGTACACTTGTAATGTAGTAATAATCCTAATTCTAACAATTCTAAATTGGACATCAGAAGGGGATGGAGTTTGAACTGCAATACCTTCTCATGTCATGAGAAAACTAATAGCCAGAAACTGGAAGAAAACAGTGATAGTGTGATAACCCCCCCGCCCTCCCTGGAATCTTCTATTTCACAACCTCCTGTTTAACATCCTCTATATATGCTTGCCTTTCTGGGCTGTCCTCTAACAGAATTTTCAGAATCTGTGTGCCTCATATTCCAGAAGAATCACCTCCCTACCCCTAACTGATTTTTCTCTCTTGCACTATCCTTCCCTTTGTTCCTTCTTGAGCAAACCAGACAATTATGTCTTCTTTCTTTGCTATAAAATGGACTGTCATCATTTAGGCTACATTTGGTAGTAGTGTCTTTGTACCTAAGACATGGACACTAGTGAGTGTGTATTGTGTTTGTTAGTTTATAGACATGTCCATTAAGTTGTGTGCTTGTACGTTGTTTGGTTGTTTTAGATATAGGGACAGACAATATAAATTGACACAATTGCATTTGGGTTTGAAATTTTATTCATTTGCTGTTTTTGTCAATTTAGTAAACTAGTGAGGGCATTTTAGTCATTTTGTCACTGTGTCTGTGTCTCCCTGTCCTTCGTGTACCTCGTCTCCTGAGGGACATGGATTTTGTGTATTCTGTGTCCATTCTTGTCCCTCCGTATCCATTGCTTTCTTTGTCTTTCGTCCACCAAACCCACCTGTGGGTGTCCGTGTCCCTGTCCCACGAATAGAGCCAGTAACACCAAACGCACGCTTAGAATTGGGCCCAAGTCTGTGTCTAACATATTCCAAAGGAAGCAAGGTGCTACTCAGGTTGCAAGGTCATTGGCCAACATTATAAGGCCATTTGCCACTCTCCATAGTTGAGAGTATTAGACCATCTGTTCTGTGTAATATGTGATGAATTTGGATTTTCCTGCTTGTTATGCAACTGAAATAAAAAGGTTCATGATTAGCATCAGAAGGACTATTTCTCACATTATTGTTTTTTGGCTTTCCAGATTATTTGACTATAATTTTATTTTCCCTTTTAATGGTTAGGTTCTTGCCACAATATGTGAGGAGCTTCCTTCTGATGGTATTCTGCTTGTATATTTGTCTGCTTCAGGTTAGATATTGTCTGTTAACTAGGAATGCTAGTATGTAATTGTATAGGGTTATCTTACTTGTTATGTCAAACTAAATTCCTTTAGGGAAAGGTGAACTCTGTATTTTCTACATCAAATGCAGGGTCTTTTGGTGCTGCACAGAATGAATCTGGCTGCATACACTTTGGTCTTCATGGAGATAGAGGTACATCTCGGACATTTTTCGTGTATTTCCCATTCTTGTACTGCCTGATACGTATAATGTCAAGAGACAAACCTCTGCATGTATAATGTGTTGCTCAAAACCATTGTTGGCCCTCCATGTAACTTTGTAAGCTTTTAGGAAACTTGGTTCTTTTTATTTTCACAAATGCTCTTGGTGGGTCTATTAGTGAAGCTGTACACTTTCAAATTTCAATGTGAAATGTTTCATGCTTTCTTTAAAATTGGTTCCTTCCATTAATAGCCTTTAGTCACACTGTTAATTTTTCTGAAATAAGTCCAAGCAGATTGAAGAAAGGAAATAAAAACGCAAGGATTTAAACATTAATTATAGTCATAGGTATAGATTGAAAAAAAGTCTTGTAATATCTCAATAATTATCCAGCTCATAAGTTTGCATAATGATGATAGTGCTCATATTATACATGGTTCTGTTGGAATTGCAGAATACTTTAACCCAATCCCTTTTCAGGATCAAACTGCATATATCCGTCTGACTTTCTACCATTTACTAGAAGACCACTTCTTTTAGTAATTGATAACGACAGTAGCAAAGCTTTTAAGGCAAGCTTTATTGCCTTACATACTTTATTTATTTATCTCTTGAATTTTATTTTAAATAATTTATTTGAATTTACTACTTGGGTCTATAGTATTTCATATGTGCTTGTTGAGATTAATGCAAATGAATGAGGTAATATTGCAAATACAGTAACTATGTAATTAGCATGATTCTATATAATTTTAAATGAAGTATTCATTATGACTTATTATTATAAATAGATAGCTCCACTATGTATTCAAAACACATGGAATCATCTTATTCCTTCCTGGTTCTCTCTTTTTAAACATGGTATCTAGAGCTTAATGAGAGGACCCTAATTTGTGCATTCTTGGTCGGCCTACTGCCCATTGGCGTAAAATTTTCCAGAAACTGTTTCATTACAGGTTTCTGGTTCGTTTCCAAAACTTTCTTTCCCTGTTTTGTACTGTTCAAAGCTTTTTTCTCTCTCTTCCACACTTCTCATGGATGCCACGATGAGATAGCGCCCAACTGCATAGCTATTGTCAAGTTGTATGAAAAGTTGTTTTATCCACATAGACTGTGCTATTGCCTATTAAGTACTGAATAATTGCAATCTAATTACTTGACCACGACCAGTTGACAAGATTAATAAAGAGAAAATAAAAAAAGCAAAAGAATTAAAAACGTAATTACTTTAAATTAATGAATTCAAATGCTAAGTAACTTCTAGGGATTAGTCATGAATAATTTTTTTCTTCGCATCATATGATCATATAGATTACTCTAGGACGTTTAAAAAGTAATTGATCAAAATGTGCAGGTCATAGCAGGAGCAGAAAAGGGAGAGTCAGTTGCTATGCTCCTTTCTCCAAGCTGTTCACCTGCTGTGTCTGATTGCTCACACAATTCAAATGGGAGTCTATTCACCATGTTCCTTACAACTCCCCTGCAAGCTTTCTGTCTGCTGCTAGGACTTTCAGGCAATGATATTGATATGGTCTGTTATTATCATCCCTTGCTCTATACTAGCAAGTTCCTCTTTTCTAAAAGAAATATTTCTCATGATCTGGAGAGTGGGAAGTTTCTATGCTTGATCCCTCAGCTACTTAAATTTGATTTCAGGACACATACAACAAAGCTGAAATGTTGCTCTCGTCTTCATTAAATAACTGGGGGCTAGCATTGGCAACTTCAGACACACTTGATCCTGTTTGGGGACAGATATTAGGTGATCCCTTCATAAGGAGACTTCTTTTGAGGTAAAACTTGTCTTCATTTCTGTTCTGATTTTTTTTTTTTTATTATTATTATTATATGTCATAGTTCTCTCACTTCTCTGTTCCAAACTGTCCTACCATGCCATCTGTGACACATCTTGGCATTTTATCTTTCTATTGTGCTTCTCTTGGTGTTCATCAATTCATTATTATTGATGATTTATTGCAACTGTAAAGATTGTTAGGCCCATCGTTAAAACCTGAACACTGATTTAATGTGCAATTATGTTTTATTTGAGGAAATTTTGGTTTCTTCTGTTATTCTGACTTGTGAGGCCTCAATATTACATTCAACACTTTTTAATTTGGATTTTAGATTCCAGTTTACCTTGAATGGTTATTGTGTTCACATCCCACAACTACAATCCTTGAAATTTTTCATTTCATTCTCTATTATGGTTGTTTTCAGAGATCATATGTTCTGCGTCAATATATAGCTCTATCTACATCCATATTGCTGGCACTAGCACAAACCACATTCCATCCAATAGCTGTAAATGATTTTGGGATTTTTTAGAACTGAAGGACCTTCTTGCTAGCTTAATAATTCCAGATGCAGGTTAATAAGAGCAGCAGTCACGTGGATAGGATATCCATGAATGTGCTCAAGGAAATTAGTTGTATGCTCCAAAGAACATCAGGTCCTTGTGGATAATCCTTGTTTTCTGTTGGGGGCATTCATCACAGCACCAAATCTCAGACTTCAGTGGGATAATCACTGTATTTGTAGCAGTAAGAAATTACAAGATCCCTTCCCTTGGGATATTGAAGGAATGCTCTTTGGGTTGCCCTTGATTCAATTTTTACATGTATGAGATTATTTCAAGCAACCATCAACATCCTCATGAATCATAATTATCTTCTGTTGACTGTTGTCTTTTGCCTCAAACAAACTCATGGGTGTAATCTCCTTACTCCCCCTCACTATACACATTACACAACATTTAGTATGGGTGCTGCCATTACCATTGATCCAATAATTCCAGAGAATGACCAGCTGAGGAATGGGTTCTTATGAGTCAAATTCGATCTAAAAGAATCATGGGGACCCAATCACTTTGGATAGGCTCGCACAAAACAGGAATTAAAGAGCACAAATGATGCAGTGGTGGCACACAACAGGGAGTGTGTTGGTCATCAAGAATCAGATTCCCAACTGCTTGGTTGTGGAGGCTCTAGTACAATGTTAAAAACAAGAACTCTAGTTTAAAGCTGTGTGATGAAGGTCTAAGAATGATAAACTTCCATTACAGTTGATTCAGAACTACGCCATCTCCCTTTGCCATATTGCTCCGTCAATCTCAATTGGATGGTTTACATACGCATCTTCAATTATTCTGCTTCATGGATATCCATTGACAATTATTTTTCATACATCTCTTTTTAGGAAAATTCCCTAGAATTTTTGAAATCTCATCCAGGGAGGTATAATTTGAATATCTCATCTATAGAAAATAATGTACTGTTACAATTCTATCCATTTATTTTAATGTCCAGTAATCCAGATGCAGCAATGCTGGCAAAGTAATTTGAATTACGTGCTCAGATTATTTTATCTAAACTGAACCTTGGACAGATTATTTTATCTAAACTGAACCTTGGACTACAATATTGTTTGTTGTAGCAATGAAGAGTTAGTCTAAACATTCTAGTGTACACATTTCTGTTATTTTCCCTGGAATTGAGGCTTACAAATTGTCTCAACCAACTCAAAACTCTAACACCTGAAGTTTCTACTGAAAAATCTCCAAGCATTGAAGTACTTTTACATCATACTTTAAAATGACAGGCTATTGAATAATTGTTTTACGTTCATGAATTTATTGTTGTGACGCTATCAATGTGTTTATGCCAAGCTTGTTCTGTTTTGCGTCTCTGAAGCATCCTTTTCCTTTTTCCCTTATATTTTGGTTGATGAATTAAAGTTAGCAAACTAACCTTTTGTTTCCCCTTTGGTGCAGATTCATATTCTGCCGGGCAGTGTTGACCTTGTATGCACCAGTTTACAATAAAAGTGAATTTCTTCCAACATGTGTTCCTTCTCTTCCAATGTCTGTCCTGCCCCCAAGTTCCTCATATCAGAGTGTAATTCTGAGTCTAGCCACAATTTTTGGTGCAACTAAGCACTTCATCTTCTCAGAGGACATTCTTCCTGAAAATATACAAACCAACGTGAATCAGTTGTGAACTCTATGAAGTTTAACTAGAGCTTTGCTTCAGAAGCACAATGTACACAGCTTGTTTGTATAGCAATCAAAAAATGAATTTTATCAAAATTACTATTTGTTCTTGGTGGGTTTCCTCGAATTTAAATTCAGCCTTTGGTGTGAACATGGTTTTTTATTATTAAACTAGTTTTTTTTTATCTTATTTTTGTGCCTTTGACAACTAATATGTATTGAAATTCAACATGTTCTTTACATGACAAGTGGCATTCCTGTGAACAAGAATGGAATATAACAATGCGAAGGAAGTTGTTGAACCACGTTTTTTCTTTTATTTGAAACCAACATATTTCCTTTTTAAATATTGGTATTCATGAGCATCTTCATTAGGTTCTTTGTTACTATATTTTTCTGCATCCATTCTTAGAATTTTTTTAATAAACCTCCCAAGTTAGTCCTCGATATTGTACAAGTTGTGTGCTTCAGTTCTTGAAATTTTGAAAACCTTTTGTTAGCCCTTGTTAATCATTCTAGCCACTTTTCTACTATCATTTTGCTAAAAAGATCAAAAAAATAAATGTAATATCATGAAATCAGGGATTGATAAGGAGTTTTTAAATATTGAGGACCAAGTAGTTTTTTAAATCTTGAGTACCTGATAGTTCAATTATATTTGACATTATAAAATATTAATTTATAATTGATATTTATTATCTCGAATGTTCAAAAAATAAGATTTTATTGAATTTCAATTTTCTTTTTTAAGCTGATATTTTTTATTTCAATCTACTCTTCTATTTTTCTTTTAATTTTAATCGCTTATTTCTTTTATAAATTTCTATTTGTTAATTATAACAGTGAAAAGATACAATTAACAAAATAAAAAGGTCATTTTCTAAATCACAATTTATAAATAAAACTAATTTCAAATCAGAGAAATAAAGGACTAAAAACAAAGTTAAAAACTAAATTGAAATAAAACAACAAGTTTATAGAATATAATAATATTTTCAATCCAATTTTGTTAGAATAGAGTGAAATTAATTTAATTTAATTTTAGAGGCTTCAATTGATGATATTCATATTGATGTTACCACTTCAACCGTTTAATTAATGGAAAGTAAATAAAACAATTAAAATCCAATTTTTTTAAAAAACAACCAAATAAAAAAAAAATCAATCTTATTTACAAAACAGCGAGCTAAAATGTTTCTCCAGCCCATATTTTATTAAATAATTTTAAAAACATTGAAACTAAATAGTTGCCATTACATATTTCACTCTAGAGAAATAACAAAAAACTTCAGAGGTACCTCATTAGAAAAACAAGAAGAAAACAAAGTAACATCATATATATAATCTCACTGAAACAAAATCCTAAACATATCTCCAAAATAAAAAAAATAATAACTGAAACTCACTATGACTAAACAAGATTCCTCAGTTACTATTACAAATCAGAATTCTCCAGTCAAAAAAATTGCATAAATGAAGGCTCCACACATAAGTGGAAAAACATGGTGTTATTAACTAGTCCTTGAAAGTGAATTCTCAGTTGACAGAAGTAGCAGTTTCTTTGACAGGTTGATCCTTGGACAATGTTTCCCAGTTGATTTGCCTAAGCATTTTAAATCTTTCATCCACTGTTACAAAACCAGCTTCAGGAGCAACTATACCACCACTCCCAGCTTTATAGAGCAATACAACACTAGCCCCCATGTCAGGTCCATGGAGTTTTCCGGTCAGCAGAAGTCGGAGTGGCATGAAAAGCGATTTTCCCTTCAAGAAGATGACAAACATATATTTTAAGTTAGTAACAGCCTAAAATATTAGGTTAGTTTGAGAAAATATATTTTGATTTCATTTCCTCTTTCACAAAATAATTATTATAATGCCACCTTATTTCACTTTGTTTTTTTGTTTTCAAAGATTAATACAAAAAAGAGTGAAAATGGGTTTTTTTTGTATTCATTTCTTTTTTTGTACAAATATTTGAAGCGTGAAACAAAGTGAAAACAATATGAAAATTTTGTAATTATTTGTCATGAAAATGTATAGAAACAGAATGTTTTCTGAAACCTCTCAGTTAAAATATCCAATTCAGCTTTACCTTGCGCTTTAGCGATTTACCAAAGCCTTTCACCCATTTTTGCCAGCCAGCTTGGCCTTCTTCAAGGGCTGCTACTAAATCACCACTATCATAGGCACCCAAGAGGCTACCAGCAAATTCAGAAAGATTATCTTGCAAGACAGATTCTGCTTCATGGCTGCAAGTAACATGAAAAAAGTTGTGATTAATAATATAACAAACATGAATCAATATATCACATTCTACATATATAATAGGAAAATTCTAACCAGTGCCCTAAGATTATTAGTTAAAGAATAAAAAAGGACTTATTAACAAGTATCATTAATGCAATTGCACCATGATTTCCAATGCACTCCCAATGTGTTTTGAAAAACTTTCTATTTAATGATTCCTTACCAATGCCCTCAACAAGACCCTATATAATCAAATTTTTAGCAAACAACAATGTGCTGCTATTAAGAATCTCCCCTTAGAAGAATATAAGCATCACCTCTGTAAAGTAGAATGCAAAGGATAAGAAAGCAACTTAGAAAGTGCCTCGTCTGCTTCAGGTATCAAATCAATCCCGTCCTTAAGTAGTTGCACTGCTTCCTGTTAGTCAATCAAGCATGAAACATGTATTATCACTTGCTTTTGACTCCATTTTTACAAGATGTGACAATAGCATACTAAATAAATCATTATGCCTCAGAAAATGAAACTAAACCAATTCTATTGATAAGGAGATTGAATCAAGAAAGCATGCAATTAGAACACACATCAATAAAGGGCCCTGCTGATATTGTAAGTAAGCCAGATGTCTTCCAGTGCTCTCCAATAAGTTTGGTCAGCTCCTCTGACGGACGAGCTCTTAAATGCTGACCATTCATCCACCTAAATAGAAAACAAAGAAAATTACAAGATCATTAGTTATAATTTAATTGTTTACTTTTAGCAACAATGCTAGGGAAGGGAACAACCCCTTGTTGTCATAGAACACCAATTTTACAATATGACTAATTGGAAGAAAGATGATAAAAATATATTTCTGATTGATTTCTCACTGTACATAATGGCTTATAATATATATACAATGCGAGATACTATTCTTCCTAAAAACCAGCAATTACATCTAATCATATCTATCACTATAAATGGAATAAATCTGTAAATAGAATAAATCTACACTAAATCTGTACAATATCTTAACAATATCTCAACACTCCCCCTCAAGCTGGTGAATGGATATCTATCATTCCCAGCTTGCATGTAAGTTCTTGAAACCGTTCCATGGGAAGTCCTTTAGTTAACATGTCTGCCAGTTGGAGCCCTGAAGGAACATGTGTTGTGGCTATTAATCCGCTGTCCAACTTCTCTTTGATGAAGTGTCGGTCAATCTCAACATGCTTAGTTCTGTCATGTTGGACCGGATTATGAGCAATACTGATTGCTGATTTGTTATCACAAAACATCTTCATAGGAGCTTCATATTTTATTCTCAAGTCATCTAGTATGATCTTCATCCATAGCAATTCACAAACACCTTGTGCCATAGCCCGAAATTCTGCCTCAGCACTTGATCTAGCAACAACATTTTGCTTTTTACTTCTCCAAGTCACCAAATTCCCTCCAAGAAACATGCAATAACCTGATGTTGATCTTCTATCAATAAGGGATCCTGCGTAGTCAGCATCGGTGTATATTTGCATGGATAGGCTTCCACCCCTTTTAAACAACAATCCCCTTCCAGGTGTGGCCTTAAGATACTGTAGGATCCTATCAACTGCCTGCATATGTCTAACCCTTGGATCATGCATAAATTGACTGACTATACTAACAGCATATGCCAAATCTGGTCTAGTATGTGCTAGGTATATCAATCTTCCTACTAGTCTCTGGTATAGTCTTTTATCAACTTTAGGACTCTCCTCATCACTTCCTATTCGATGGTTTTGCTCAATGGGAACACCAGTAGCCTTGCAACCAAGCTTTCCAGTTTCTTTGAGAAGATCTAAGATGTATTTCCTTTGTGAAATGAAGATACCTTGTTTAGAGTAGGCAACTTCAATTCCGAGGAAATACTTCAGTTTCCCAAGATCTTTCATTTCAAACTCAGCTGCTAATTTTTTCCTCAGAAGCTACTGCTCAACCAAATCATCACCCGTTATGACAATGTCATCAACATACACTAATAAAATAGTGAGTTTTCCATCTAGTGTATGTTTAAAGAAGAGGGTATGATCTCCTTGACTCTGTTTGTATCGCAATGAAGTCATCGTCTTCGTGAACCTTCCAAACCAAGCGCGAGGGGATTGTTTCAATCCATACAATGCCTTTTTCAGCCTACACACTTTGTTTGTCTCGCCAGTGATGTTATAACCAGGTGGAGTCTCCATGTAAACCTCCTCCTCTAGGTCTCCATGTAAAAAAGCATTTTTTACATCAAATTGATGTAACTCCCATCCAAAATGAGCAGCAAGGGAGAGCAAGATTCTGACTGTGTTCATCTTGGCTACTGGGGCAAACGTCTCCTCATAGTCAATCCCATATGTCTGTGTATATCCCTTTGCGACTAATCTTGCTTTATATCGATCTAATGAACCATCAGATTGATATTTCACTGTATATATCCATCTGCATCCAACTGATCTTTTGCCATTAGGTCTCTCAACAATCTCCCAAGTTCCATTCTTCTCTAATGCTCTCATCTCCTCATTCATAGCTTGAACCCAATTCTCATCCTTCAATGCTTCTTGTACGGAGGTTGGGATTTGGATAGAGTCTATGGCTGCAATGAAACTCTGGTGCTGCAAAGAAAGGTGTTTAGAGGAGACAAATTGAGAAATAGGATACTTGGCACAAGTCCTTTTTCCTTTTCTCACTGCAATTGGTAGAGTATCTAGGTTAGGCTCACAAGTATTCAAAGGATCATTTTCCAAGTCAGGAATGAAAGAGTTAGTACCTTCAATACTTACCATAGGTTCAGACTCTTGAAGTTGTTGTTGGTTTGATTCAGGTTTCCTTCTCCTTTGATACACCAAAGTTGGTGTAGCTGCTTTAGGTGGTGGAGTAGAGAGTATCAATTCTTGGGTAGAGTCAGATGAGTTTCTAGTAGGAAGTAATGGCTCTTGCGTATTAGTGAAAGGTAAAGGCTCTTGTGTTGGAGGAAAAAATAGGAATGACTCAGGGATAAATGACTCAGCTTCTGAAAGACTCTCCCCCTGAAGCTGAGGACGGAAGAAAGACTCAGTCTCATGAAAGGTGACATCCATGGAAGTGAAGAACCGACGACTGGATGGGTGAAAACATTTGTATCCCTTTTTATCAGGAGCATAACCTATGAAAATGCACTTAACAGCTCGGGGATCAAGTTTATGACGATGTTGACGATGCACATGAACAAAAACCACACACCCAAAGATTCGATGTTGTAAAGTTTGCATAATAGGAACAGAGGGGAAATGGGATAACATAAGTTGCACAGGGCTCATATTTCCAAGAACACGAGAAGGCATGCGATTAATTAAATAGGTAGCAGTTAAAACAGCTTCACCCCAATATGAATTAGGGACAGACATCTGAAAAAGTAAGGCCCTAGTGACTTCTAATAAATGCCGATTTTTTCTCTCAGCCACACCATTTTGTTGTGGAGTATCCACACATGTAAATTCATGAATAATGCCATGCTTTTTAACAAAATCAGAAAATTGTTGATTCACATACTCCCTACCATTATCAGAATGCAAACGTTTGATAGTTTTGCTAAATTGTGTTTGAATCATATTATAAAATTGGACAAACAATTGAAAAACTTCTGATTTATCTTTCATTAAAAACAACCAGGTTACTCTTGTGCAATCATCAATAAAGGAAACAAACCATTTAGTGCCAGAGATATTAGGAATAGAAGCAGGACCCCAAACATCAGAGTGAATAAGTGTGAAAGGCTCGTCACATTTATTAGAACTAGATGGAAATGACACACGATGGTGTTTTGCAAATTGACAAACATCACAATGAAAAGACTCAACTGACTGGTTGACAAACAATGATGGAAACATAGACCTAAGTAGGGAAAAAGGCGGGTGACCAAGACGCTTGTGCTGTAACCAAATTTGAGAGACTGTAGACTCTGAACTTGTTTGGTGACATGAAGAAAGTACCCTCTGACTGGAACCACCTATAGCTTGTAACTTGAGGAGATAGTATAACCCTCCTGCTTCCTTAGCAACTCCAATCGTCCTCCCCGTGGCAAGATCCTGAAAGACACAATGGGAACGGAAAAAAATGACTGCACAATTATTGTCTTTGAGAAGTTTATGAACAGAAATAAGGTTATGGGAGAGCTGAGGGACATGAAGCACATCATGTAAGTGTAGGAAAGGGTGAAGGGAAACAATACCGGAGCCTGCAACTGAGGTACGGGAACCATCAGCTACAGTTATATGGCGTGTGCCTAAGGTGGAATGGTAAGAAATAAAATGTGGGGTGTGAAAGGTCATGTGGTCAGTTGCACCAGAATCAATTATCCATAAATCCTCAGGTACAATACTAGAAGCATTAAAAGATTGAGAATAGAAATTCTTACCAGACAAGGTTAGAGAGCAAGAGCCAGAGGGCTTACTGAGAGAGGTGAGGAGAGTTCTCAAGTGGGCAAGCTCATCTTTACTAAGGGCTGGAACTTCATTCTCCACTGGTGTATGTTCTGATGTGATGATATTTTCTGAGGTAGTCAGATTGGCCTGACTAGGGGACAAGCCTCGAAATCCTCCCATGCGACTAAGAACATTGTCCTTGCCATGAAGTCTAAAACAATTCTCCTTAGTGTGTCCAGGCTTCTTGCAATATGAACACCAACGATTATCTCGGGAAGGCTTCAAAGAGGTTGAAGAAGGTCCTGATTTTGCTGTCTTACCTGCAACCAAGGCGGATCCGGCCGTGGGTTTGTCGTCAAGCATAACAGCTCTACGACTTTCCTTGCCTCGAACAGTGTAAAACACCTCAGACAATGAGGGTAGTTTCTCTTTACCCAGAATCTGAACCCGAATAGGGTCATATTCTGGATTCAAGCCAGAGAGAAATTCAAAGACCCTATCCCTGTTAACAAAATCTGTCAGGATGGAAGCATCTTTGCTACATTCCATCTGCAGATTCTGGTATTGATCCAATTCAGCCCATAGACCAGTAAGAATCCCATAGTAATCTGTCATAGTCATTGCTCCTTGCTTGATTGAGAAAATCTTCGTCTTCAACTCATAACAAGTAGCAATATCTTGCTTCTTAGAGAAAGTCTGGTGAAGGACATCCCAAATCTCACGAGAAGAGGATAGGAACATACAATTACGACTTACATCGGGTATCATAGAGTTCCACAGCCATGTCATAATAAGAGAATCTTCATCATCCCAAGCCTCAAAGTGAGGGTCTTCCTTGGTAGGAGGATTTCCCTCAATGTGGGATAATTTTCGACGACCTTTGAGAGTACGCCGGATAACTTGAGCCCATTGCAAATAATTTTTCCCATTCAAGTGATAGGTAGGGTGTAGGACAGGAAGGTCATTAGGATTTAAAGGTGTAGGTGGATTGGGAGAGGAAGTTGAAGTGGAATGGGTAGCATTAGTGGTGGTTTGAGGGGTGATTTTAGGTGTTTCGGATTCTGCCATAGGTAAAGGGTTGCCGGAGGTAGGTCAGAGTGATGCTGCGGTGGTCGGATATGAAAGAGAGGTTGGAGAAAAAATGGCCAGAAAGTTGGCCGGCAGCGGTAACAGTGGTGGGTGTGGGAGAATACGACGGAAGAAATATTGGGAAAACAAAAAAAAAGAGGCGTTAGGGAAGAGACAACAATTAAGGTTGTAGAAATTGTCCAGCAATGAAGGCTGGAATGCAGCGGAAGGTGTTCAGGCTCCCAGGTCGGGAGCTCTGATACCAAATTGGAAGAAAGATGATAAAAATATATTTCTGATTGATTTCTCACTGTACATAATGGCTTATAATATATATACAATGCGAGATACTATTCTTCCTAAAAAACAGCAATTACATCTAATCATATCTATCACTATAAATGGAATAAATCTGTAAATAGAATAAATCTACACTAAATCTGTACAATATCTTAACAATATCTCAACATGACTAAATAAACTAATTATACATACAACAATCCAATGCAAATAAAATGTAAAGAGTATCCAATAATTGACAGAGAAGAAACAAGATTTCACATTCAGAAAATTGTATGAAACTTGACCCATTTCACCTTAAAATGTAGGCTACAGTAATACTATGGGAAACAAAACCCAGGATTTATCGATATAAAGTAAGGCAAAAAGCAACAATTACCTTAACTTTGTTGAGTCAAAAATAGCACCACTTTTGTTAACACGTTCAATAGTGAATTTTTCAACTGTTTAACATAAGGAAAACATTCATGTATGTAAGAAATTCCCATGTGAATTAGATAACAAACTATCTGAATAGCATGCCAGAAAAGTAGAGTTCAAAAAAAAGTCACCAACCAAGTTGATCAAGAGTAAAAAACTCATTTTCAGTCCCATCACCCCAACCTAATAATGCTAGGTAATTCACCATTGCTTCAGGTAGGTACCCCATCTCCCGAAACTGTGAGTGAGAAGATGAGTTTGAAAATAATTATCATTACAAGAGAAAAACCTTTCCAAGAACTTATATAGTAAAATTAAAAAGAAAAAGAGAGTCAAGTGAGACCGCATCACATAACTTCAACATGGATAAAATATGGAAAAATGATAAATCAACCTCACCTGACCCACTGATGTTGCCCCATGTCGTTTCGATAATTTACTCCTGTCAGGAGCTAAAATCAATGAAACGTGTGCAAAGTAAGGCATGGGAAATCTTAGTGCCTGTAAACAAATTCAAGCAGAGAGGCAAGGCAAACCATAATCAGTAACCAATATTATTGCATAACCCAAGGAAGAAAATAAAAACAAGAATTACAAGAAAGTGAGGAAAATTTGAAGTGAAACATGGTAGTGGTACCACCACATATTGACTTATCAATCCCTTGTTGGGAAAGCTACTCATTGTTGCTTCTGATAATCAGCACAAATCTGATCTTTTTTTTTTCAAACAAATTTATCTAAACAGTTTTAAAATGTTTCATAAGTGTAAAAAGGATCAGCATTATTTTAAAAGAAAAGAGTTTAAACAAGTAAAGAGTTTAAACAAGTAAACTCTTAATCAAGCAATCTATTGATTACTATTCTCCCAGTTGGAATTTCTCAACCTGGATTTCATAACTCAATTCTTCCAAAGAAAAAGATCCTTTTCATAAATGACAAATTTTAGAAATAAAAGAGAGAAAAAACAATAATCAACAAATGCATTCGGGCAATATAAACTGACATGCCAGAATACTAAGAAAATACTTAGAAAATCAGAAAATTAATACAACTTGGTCAACACTTTTCACACTCAATCTCATATAATTAACCTATCAAAACTTTTTCCAACCATCTTTTGTTGTCCATCATTTTGGGGTTGTGATTTACATCATTAAATGTTAGAAGATGTTTTTCATATAAAACCACCACTAAATAAGGTCTATCATAACCTAGACCACTATTTTCTTTCCAACCATTATAGTTCTCTGAATTCGAACATCACTTTTCTCCTCTCTGGCTCTGATTTCACACTTCCAATAGAACATTAGTAGTGTGTTTGGATAAAGAATTTGAAAGAGGTAATGTATTTTGAAATTATCCATCTACAGACAGTAAATTTTTCTTCACACTACCTCAGTTCAACTCCTCAATCCCAAAAACAACAAAAAATCAAAGTAGAAAAAATTGTTATTCTTGCTGAAGCACATCTTCATTGCAAAGCTAGTAATTAAAGTTATTCCACTCAGATATAAGTCCTCAATTTCTCACCCCTTCCCCGGGTCTCTGTCTGTTCATAGCGTCAGTGCCATATCAGAATGAGTTTTTCAAAGCCATGAGAATATCGCACATAGATTTGGGCAATTGACTATACATGAATCACTTCTCAAAAATACAAATGAGATTTTATAGGATGATACTATACATATTGAACTAGACATTTCTGACAAATTAATAGGGCGGATAAATACCAACTTCATTCACAATATTTCAATTTTTCGGATTTAAGTTTGATGTTGTTTTGAATTGAGAAACAAATAACAGACACTGAGTTTGAAGGAAAATCTGATGCTATAAAAGATGATATGATATAATATATGAGTTGAACCTTACCTTGTATATTAATGCCTGTCTTAGAGTGTTTGGCAAATGCTCCTCTGCCCTAAATTAAAAATATTTTATGTAATAAATTAGCAAAAAACATTTGTCAAAACATTTTGACTAAGAAATTATAATCACTACCTGATAACATGGGAAATAGCCATGGTAGCATCATCCACCGTTACACAAAAGTTATAAACAGGCTGACCATTACTCCTCATTATCACAAAATCTCCAAGTGTATCCAAGTTCCAACTAACCTTCAAGACACTACCAAGGAAAGTTAATAGCTAGTCAATGTTATTTTGAAAGAAATGCTATGCATCATCATTTGCCATATTTTATAAATGAGTTTCACATCTCAATCGTGTATAAGAAAAGATTAAATATGTTCTTCGTCCATGAAAAAAATTAAGCAAATTGATTTTTTCCCCAATGAAAAAATAATTTTGTCATGATCCCAGATTTTACTGTAATACATGTTTTTAGTCCCCAACATTAGATTTTCTCCATAAAGTTACAACATGGCATAATCAAAAGGGATGCCATGTGTAGGTTATCTGTGAGAAAATATAACTGCAGAAAATATAAACACGTGAATGAAAAGGAATTTTTTTTTATTAGTGACCAAAATAAATTGGTTAATTTTTCAGGGATGAAAAACATATTCAAACCAGGAAGAAAAAAAGAGGCTAAATTTCTGTCAATATATTATTCTTCCGTTTGGATAGCAGATTATAGGATGAAATAAAATACTCCCAAGATATCAGTTGACTTTTGGATTGAAAATAACATATTTAAAAGAAATGCAATAATTTATTTGTACTGCACAAAGTAGAAAATCATCAATCATACCACTAAAGAAGATAAAAAGAAAGAGAACTGGAATAGGGTGGAAAGAACTCACTTCGCCTCGTATTAGGTCATTAATCTTTAAACTTCCTTCAGGAACACGAAACCGGTATGTATATGGAGTTCCTTTTGACAGCTCTTCTTCTACTTCCTCATTTGTTGCACTTGCCCATTTACCCGTGTACACTGGAGGCAGTTGCTTTAATTTAGCATCCTCCTTCATTTTTTCTAGTTCCTGTTAAGATGAATAAGAATCAATTTTAACAAGTAATCTTGACAAAATATTGATCTTAGACATAAATGCTCCAAAACTTGAACAGTAAAAGATGACCAAACTCCGGTGGCACAAACTTCATAATTCTTTTTATGTGGTACACATCTCAAAAATAAGAAACCAAAATGGAAGAATTTTTTTGATAAACTGAATCAAAAACGATTATCATGGATGCCAAAAGATTATAAGGTCCACTTTGGGGAAGCTTTTAGATAAGGCCTTATAGGAGAAGAAAATCAATATGAAAAATGAATAATTTCTTTTTCATAAACTAAACACAACTTACACTCAAGTTTTACAGAAGTTAAATAAGAGAACTTTTTAAGAAAATAGAGACGCGTAAGTTGATTTTAACTTATGGGAGGATTTTGATTTATTTTACTACTTAATTTTTTACTTTGATAAGTACTTATTGAGAAGTTTATCCGAACTAGGCCTAAGTACAAGTGAGCAAACCAACTTGAAGCTAGAGAAGCTTTTCCCACAGATCAAATATATTTAAAAAACCAGCACATGACAACACAATACAGCCAATATGGTTTCCTGTTGCTAATGCCAATATTTGAATGACGAGCAATGAATGGAAAACTGTCACTCAACAGACACTTTGAAGTGCATGGGCAAAGTTCCCACTCCGTATCTTAATTAAGTGTGCGCTTTGGATTACCTTATTTTGGGGACATGTATGACTTTTTTTAATGCAGCTTCTTAGCGGAACTCTTTAATAAAAAAGGATTTCTCATAATTTGTTACGATGTCTTCAAGCTTAAAAAAAGTGATTCAATGATATAGCTTTCTTTCCAGCAGCTACTAACTTATGAGAAAAGCACTAAAGCATTTTTGGTCTCCTTTTTCATTCCCAAAACACTGACATATAATATTATATATTTTTAAACACATTTAATAAAAAAAAGTCACATGCACAAACAAAGGGCACTAAAACCTTCCCAAACAGATGCTAAGACAATAAAAGTTACAAGTCCAGAGCTTCTCATGAAGCAAGTTCCAATACCTCATTAGAACAGAAGCAGCGATAAACATGACCCGATTGGTGGAGTTTCTCAGCATACTGTTTGTACAAAGCGTTTCTCTCAGACTGCCTATAGGGACCATATTCCCCTCCAACACCGGGCCCTACAAGTTCACCACAACACACACTTAAAATATCAACAAAAAAAACTACCAGAGCAAAAAACATGAAAATGCACACACACTTACTTAATCATCAACAACAAAATGTTACCAAAGTAAATACATGAAAATGCACACTCACTCAATCACTCACCCTCATCATAATCAAGGCCCAGCCAAGAAAGATCTTTGAGCATGGCCTCTTCAGATTCCCTTGTAGACCTCTCCAAGTCAGTGTCCTCAATTCTCAGCACAAATTTCCCACCTTTGGACCTGAAATTACATATCCAAAACACCAAACAACACAAAACTCAAAACCAATCAAAACCCAGAATTGAAATCAATTTTTTTTGAGGAAAAATGAAAAAAAAAAAATGTACCTGGCAAACAAGTAATTGAAAAGGGCCGTCCTGGCACCACCAACATGAAGGTTACCAGTAGGAGAAGGAGCGAAACGAACGCGAACGGGAAGGGAAGATTCTGAGAGAGCAGAGACTGTGAAGGATCTTCGGAAGAAGGAGGTTCGAGTGGTGTATGAACGATGAAAAATTGGAGGAGCAATAACCTTCGACCATGGAGTGCCACTACTCAACAACGCCATTCTCTTTCTCACTGTATCTCTGTGTTTTGCTTCGACTCTTCCAACTGGGATAATGGCATTTGTTCTGTTTTGTTTTGTAGGATAAAAAATAAATAATTTTAATAACTTTTCTTACAAGTTAAAAAAGAGTAGCTTACGGGAGAGGAAAGGAAAAGTTATATTATTATAAAATTTAAAGAATACTTCTAAGGTGGTGTCGGTTCATCGTAGCTTAACTTAAATTATTCTAATAAAAACATTTTTACATTTATCAATTGAGTAAATTTATAATGCCGTTTTAAACCTTTCTCCCATGTTTGAACGAAATAAATAGTATATAAATAAATAGTGAGAAAGAAATAGATAAAAATAAATTTAGTTGTTTGAATAAATAGAAACAACAACAACAATAACTTAAAAAATATTTTGTGGGCCATTTTAATCTTCATACTAGGATTAGTTACTTAATGTTAATAGTTTTATTTATGTGACAAATTAATAATTTTAATATTTTAAAAATCTTAAATTGAAATTTTAATATTGAAAGTTGGAATTGAAATTGAGTTCCAAAGTTTTAATTATTAATGTTTGAATGTTTATTTAGAATTGAGATAATAATTATATAAATTTAATTTCATAAAATTTTATGACAACTAAATTTGTTCTACTTCAATTCTAAACTTGTACTTTAGGAATTTAATGTCACAATTCACATATATACTCGCTTATCACCACTTTTTTGTCTCTTGTATTCTTCATTTTCGTAGTTCTTATTTTTCTCTAAATAATTTCTTTCTTAATAGTTTCTTCTTCTCTCTCTTCGTTGGTTCTTTCTTTCTTTGTACATCATTCTTTTTTTATCTTTTAAACTTTACTTTTACATTGATTATTAATATCACTTTTTTTCTTATATTTTTTATTTTTTTCTCTATTTTCTTTTTTCTTGTTTTACATTAGTTATTAATGAAAGTAGTTTTTTTTTCTATTCTTCTTCTTCTTGTTCTTTCTATTCTTTTTTTACGTCTTTTTTTTTTTACATTTGTTACCTGTTTAATATGTCTAATATATTTACATTGTTGTGACATATTACTAGTATGCACTTTTTACACTTGCCGTAAATTATGTTATTTATGTTAATTGTATAATAAATTATTTAATATTTTTTCTATTAGACGTCGAAGGAAATATTAAAAATTAATTTAAAAATTTTTGAAAGTAAGAGAAATAAAAAAGATAAAACGAGTGCTAGATGCAAAAGAGTAAACACACGTTAAAAAGTATATTTCTAAGATAATTATATCATATTATTATAATCAATTAAGTTTTACTCAATAAGTTTTTTTTAACTTTTTAATATTTTATGTGAAAGAAAAGGACTACATAACAATGTTTTTATTTATCTTAACTTATAATCTCAAAATGAGAGTTATTGACGATACTTATATTCAATTTATATTTTTAATTTTAAAAATTAAATTATATTTGTGAGTATTCTATGCTTTTATCTAGTTTATAAAAAAGATAATCTGTAACATTAAATTTTAATAATAAATTAAACATAAAAAATAAATTTACTATGTCATGATTTTTAAAAAAGAAATATTAAATTATCATATTTAACAATTTATTTAATAATTATTTTATATTTTCAATTAACATATTATTTTTAAAAAAATTATTAAATAAAATTTTAATACAAAATTAAATTATTTTTAAAAATTTAGATATTATATTACATTATATAATTTAATTTTAATTTTAATTTCATGCACTAAACGAGGCATAAATGTAAAAATTGATAAAAATAAATAAATTCAAAAGTATATTCCTTCGATCAATCTAGTTTGTCGGTTACTATTGCTCACGTAATGTTAGCAATCATCCTCAAATGTCATATAAAGTATCTGATGAGATCCTTATGTAATTAATATTCAGATACTCCTATCTTTTAAATACCAAATTGATGGTATAAATAAGAGTTTTTTTTCCCTCTTTTAATTTTCTTTCTCTCATATAAGAATTTTTTTTTGTTATAACAAGTTTTATGCTTTCTTTGGATGAAATAGAAAATAGTTTAAAAAATAAGTAAAAAAGAAAATAGTAAAACAAAAATAAATGAAAAATACGATAGAAAACATGTATTATTTAGATAAATAAAATAAGAAGCTTAAAGATAATAGTTTGCCTTTCAAAATAGAAATAGGAAGGTTTAAATTGCTCAAATCGTCAAAGTCTAGTGAATAGCAAAGGATCATCCTTTAGAGGGAACTAACCTAATAAATTGATGAAAGAAATTATAATTGAAGTCAAAGAAATAGAATTCATGTAAACAAATTATTTTTTTTCCAATCCAATTGAATTAGTCTTTCAATATTAATTTATGTATTAAGCTTGTCCTTTTAATTACCACTTTGAAATATTTATAAATGAGGAACCAACTTGATAACCCTTACCCCTTCAAAGAACTAAGTACAAAATAGCATTCATTCAATCTTGAAAGGAATGGGAATCCCACATAATAAACTAATAATAACAACATAATAATGCAATCAACATAATGAATACCAAAACACGATCACATGTGATCACATTTTACCCTTGCCCATTTTTATTTTTCTTTTAGTATTCAGTGAGAAAAAAAAAGTCAAATTTTCAGCTAAAATTGGAGAGGCCTTTACACTCATCAATTATATTGGCAGGTTCATAATGTCTCTAGCTAAACTCAAACCCTTTCCACTAATTGCTCAGGATACTTTTACCTTAAGGTGGACACTGGAGGAAGTAGTTCATACCTCTAAGCCATTAAAAAATCAATAAGATCAGAGGGATCATAACCTTCAAATAGTAAAAGAAAAAAACAAAAGAACAACACTTATGACAAATAACCAGAAGGGTCACCCTCTAGTTCTGCCCCTAACATCAACAGTGAGATCATTGGTCAATTAATAATTGAAAAGATACACAGGAAAAAGTAACTTGCATGCTACCTTTACAGAATCATGAAGAATACAAAACTAAGCCACTAGCCTTTTGAGAAACGTTGTTTGGTTCTAATTTATACTGGATTTCTAAGACAATATATTTGTGTTTGGTTTATTTATAATTAACACCTCAGAAGAAAAAGCTCTTGGGACTCCTGGACATTTGTTATAATCTAAATTCAATAGGGCAATTAAATTTTCCATAACTTGTTTTTGCCTCCAATTCTGAATTTTTATGTTGATTAGTGGCTGAAGGCACCCTTAACACCCTCAAGACTCTCCCCCAAGGACAACCTGCAAGTTAAACATAAATAATGTTTAGAATAAAAGTTTCATCTATATGTTGCTCCCTCAATATATTAATTATAGATGCAATTGTAAAATAAAATCATTGACTATAAATGAATAGCTGATACAAACCCAATCATGTCAATACAACTTGTTGAAATTCCTGAGGAAAAGAGGGGGAAGAAATACTCGGAATAATAAAATATATTTATAGCATAAGAAGTGTTATGATGTGATATAGAAAACAAATCAGTAAGCTCTATTTTTTTAGAATAAAAGTACCTATAAGTATCTTCCACAAGAACCAATCCTATTTGATCTTATACATTCACAACATGGACGTAGGGTTAGCTCTCGCAGCAAGAATATTTTCCATACACAATGTTTGAACCTAAGACCTTGCTTATGAAAAATCAAGTATGTACCAAACAAAATCACTACTTGTTCTATCATTAAGTTCTATTTATGTTAACAGAAGGCTCCTAAATCCTAATCCTAATTAAATAAGCAAAACTCATCAAATAAATACACTCTAAACTATGAGATATCCTCTAGATATTCTAACACAATTCAGAACAATATTTATCAACCATAAAGAGAATATGTCAAAAGAGAAAAAGAGAACAAATACTGCTGCTTTGAAGAAAGAATATATTATGAACCCAAGAAAGAGAAATGAGAAATTGATAGAAAGAAACAATTATATTGAATGAGTGTGAATAGGAGGAAGAATTCTCCTCCAAAGGTTGGCCTTCATAAAAGGTTCCTCCTTCATACCAACTTTCTTATTCCCTAAATCCATCCTTCATACCAACTTCATAAAAGGTTTGAAACTAAGGCCTAATCAAATACTGAAACTAAAATAAACTAGCTTACCCAAAGATAAAAATACAATATTAAATTATGAAAAATATAATGACCATAAAAAATTATACTGAACATGCTTATCCCCTCTGCATTACAATGTTGTGTAATCCAATATATTCCTAAAAATAGTGCAAAACATATGATAAAAATATGCTGCCATCAGTTCACAGAATAAAAAGAATAAAAAACCCTTTAACTTCTTGGTGAAATTAGAGAGCTCACAAAATAAACAAGCCAAGAACAACTTTTAATTTTTCAAGTGCAATCAGAATTCTCTTTTACTAAACAAGTGAAGAGTTTGGCTGCTCCATTATATTATGAAACAAAGCCTAATCCCTTTTGAGACATAGAGATCACTAAAGTAGACTTTACCTTACCCAACAAAGCCTTTACCATAAAAAAGAGAAAGAATAAATTGCAAAAAATGAATTAATTTTGTCACAACTAAAAAGAAAACAATTACTATCTTTGTGATTTGCCGAACCAAATTGAAGGTGTTAAAACTTTAGCAACAAAATGAAAACAAATTGACACATTTGTAATTATTTGTGAAAACAAGAAATAAAAACAACACATTTTTGCAAACCAAATCTGCCATAAGTTTTAAAGTAAGTATACAAATAAAAAAATTCAAATTCTAACTTCTAAAACTCAATTTCTTTTGATATCAACACTTGGAAGGCATGAATGACATTCAAGATTATCAAAACTAGACACCTGGATTGGATGCATGCGAGACAAGCAGTTGCCAGCTATGAATCCTTCTACTATCTGGTAAAAACTAAACATCACCAATCTCTCTAATCTAGCATTCCCTAGAAACTATAATACCCCTGCCACAAACAACTCAAGGTCCAATAATTTATGGTAACTCTCAAGAAATAGATAAAAGTAATGATATGGTGGCTTTCCAACAAAACAATGAACTGTTGAGATCCATTGTTTGTTTCTATTTTCAATAATCAATGTATCAATACATAAATCATAACCAAAACTGATTCATGATTCAACATATTTTACTTTCTCAGACCAGCCACATCAAATCAATCATAAGAAAATTTGTATTTAAACCCATGCTTTGCAGTTTTCACAACTTCAATTTTGCTAAATGCATTTTAAAATTTTGAGCATCAAGGTGCAGAAATTATACGTACTTATGCATACAATATTTGAATTCTTGGCTCCGAAAAAAGTCCTTTTCTCCCTCTTCAAGCTACAAAAAAAGGAAGAAAAAAGAAAAATGCAACCCAATTGAGCATCTTTAGAACACAAGAACCATAAAACACTATTAATCTCAATCCCATCAAAAAGGGTATCACACACAAAGTTAGCCTCACCGGGTCACTCTCATATATGAGCTCATAACAATCGGGCGAAAGGCATCGCAGAGCACAATTCTCCCTTGCTATCATTGATGATTTGCATGACCAACCCCACAATCCACTATCCACCAAAAAAAAATGGTAATGTGCATCAATAGTTGCCAAACATCACACATTCCACAACCTGATTTAATTTCCAAGGAAAAAGAAAAGCAGCCCAAACACAGAAATAGTAAAATCAAGTGTGCATGCCAATTTCAACATAGCACTGAACTGGAAGCAAATATGTTTCAATTATAATGGTAAAAAATGAGTTTATAACAATAAACCTGTATCAACAACAGTTACCACATATCACATACATTCTGCAGCCCAATTAAATTTTCAAGAAAAGGAATAAGAACCAGAGCCATAAACAGTAAAACCATGTGCACCTGTGCATAAAAATTGCCACAGCTCTAAACTTGGAGGCAAATATTTTTCATTCTTTCAATTATAACGGAAAATAGCTTCGTGAAAAATTGGACTAACAATACAATTAGACCCTAAAAGATGTTACTTGCCTTGACAAAATATCTCAAACCACATCCCCAATATACCCCTTAACTAACAATCATGACCCAATCACCCTTCTAATGCCTTTTTCCTCACGTAAACACGACCCCATCTTCCATGGTTGCCTTCATGCACTAAAGGCTCACTTGATTCACCTCCAATGGCTGTATCAGTCCTCCAAACTTTCCATCTATAAAATCACTCCACAAAATTCTCAACTTGCTAACAAATTCACTCAAACAATTTGTCAAGTTCATCCCTTTAGATACTTCTTTATATAAACAAAATAAGTAAACTTGAGATTGATTTGATAAGTAAGCTTTACCCTAACAAAATATGTCATATATCACACATATTCTATAACCCAAATCATAAGTTTATAGAATATATGTGATATTTGGCATATTCAGATATCACATATATTCAACCCAATCCATTCTTCAAGAAATAGAGAGAGAAAAAAGAAAAGAAAAGAAGTGGGATGAACCTGTCAATATCAGCATAGCACTGAAGCTTCATCTTCCTGACTTGAGCATCCTGCATGATATAAGAGATACCAAGAACCGAAAATGAATAGAAACACGAAAAGGGTAACAGAAACACAGATCAAAGAGGGATATTGAGAGATGCGTACGGAGATTGGCTGAGGAGACTTGGCAAGGATTGGTGACAAACAGAAGAACAAAAATAGAGACGATATAGAGACAAAAGATACCAATGAATTTCGTGCTGCAATCACCATTGTGAGTGTAACAATCAAGGCAAATTACAGAATTCGAACTTGGAATGAAACTAAAAAAACCTAATCACTCAGTGACAGGGAGTGCCATCGCTCGAAGATGATGCTCTGTTTTTATTTTTATTTTTATGAATTACTAGTTTTCATTAAATATTAATATTTTTTTTAATTACATTTCCTGTATCTTTAAAATTCTTTTACTTTTAATTTATATTTTTTTAATCTTTTATGAAGTCCTTAAAAATATTATGACCTTTTTAAAAAAATTTCTCGGAATACAAGAAATTATATATTTAATCCTCTTACAAATTACTTTTTTTATATTTATTTACTAGTGAGATTTAGAAGAATTAAATAAAAAATAAATAAAATGAATTAGTTGGTAATAAAAATATTTTATAAGAAATTCACAAAAAAATAAAACTAGAAACTAAATAAAAACTATAATTCTTTTATAGAAAAAATTATTAATCATGAAAATTATCAACCATATTTTTCCCAAACTGAAAAAAAAATCAATAATTCAAAATAATACGAATTAAATATAAATTTAATTAGTTCTCTTTCATTTAAAATTAATTTCGTGTATTATGCAAATTTTTTAATTTAATTAAAAATTTAAATAAAAAATAATTAAAATTAAGAGAGATATACTAAATTTAAGTAATATTTAAAAAACATATATTAAAATAGAAAAAATTAATATTATGAATATTAGATAAGAAATCAATTTCTTCTAAAAAAAATATTATGCATAGTATATTTTGTGAATGATAAATAAAAATTAATTTTTTTGAGGCATAAAAATTACAAAAATAAGTTTTTATTTTTTTAATAAAATTAGTTTGGTGAATTAACTCAATTAATAGTAATGTATAAAAAATTAGATTAAACAATAAATCAGCAAAATATATTAAATATTGTCACATAGGAATTATTATTATTTTATCACGATAATCATTAAAATTTATCATATGACAATATCGACCATGTTGTATTAATTTACATTGTGTTAGTTAAACTATCACAACACAAGTAATTTTTTTAAATAATTTTTCAAAATTACTCTGAAGTGATAAAAAAAAAAAAAAACTTTTGGAATGAATGTCTTGTATTCAAAGATTTAGCTAGGACTATAGTTTTTTTAAAAAAATTTATATTTAGCCTTTTCAAAAGTGTAAATTAGCATGTATTATTGTTACAAAAACTTTAAGGAAAATTAATACTTCCTTGAATTATTTTTATAAAAATAACTATTACTATTTCTTTCTAATTATAAGCAATGAATATTCATTTTTAAATATATTAATTCTTAAATCATTTTTATAAAAAGTCACTTATTATCTATATAAATAAATTACTTAATATATACGTTGTCAATTTAATTATTTAATACTATAGTTATTTCTAGATTATAGTATAAATTTATGATAGATTATTATTTTATATTAATATTGATGAATTAATTAATTGTTTTTGATAAAAAGAAATTGGAAGGAGTATTTATGTACAGAAGTTTAAACATGACTAAAACATCATGCGTTTATTTATCATACACGCTTCAATTCATAGAAACAAAATTCAGGGGTTCAAGAAGCACGAAAACGAAATGGAGGAATATGAGAATCTACTTCACCTTTCATACAAAGCAAATTCCAAATAATTGAGTGTAAAATGGGTATTGTATAAAGGAAATTGAATTTAAAAGGAAAAATTAACTTCAATTTAAAGTGGCCAAACCTAATACCCAACATTCAAGACTTTTCATAGATTAAATAGGGCATCTCGTGCCTATGATAATCTCATACATCAATGAAAAATGAGGCACCTTAGATGTTACTCGATAGATATGTACCAAACAGTTCCCAATTTCACATAGGCATTTACTTTCTTACTTTACAAGTCTGCTCACCTTAGAGGAGCCAACTATTTTTTCTTATACATGTATTGCTAGCATGCTAAAAGAAAAGAAGTAAAATCTATACAATGTTAGGTATGAAAACTTGTAAGAAAGCAGTCTTCACCAGATAAAGTCCTCTTGAGGTTTCATTTCTAACATCTTTATCAGTCAGATCAAGCTCATGATAGAAATCAGTAAGACATGAGTAAATGTAAAGGAAAACAAATAACTTTATATTTTTATACAATTTTATTGAAAACAGTTTATTTACATGCATAACCTTTGACAGACAAATCAAGAGTTGATCACTTGGCCAAAATGAGAACTGCAACCATTGTTTTTATCAACTGCAATTGTATGACTAACATAGAAACAGTGTCAATCCCATGTATGTGTACAATCAAGAGAGTTCTTCTATCATTCTGCTAAAAGACATGATGTGCAAGGACTAGAGTGCAGATTCCTGCCCCCTTTTCTGGAACCACACGGCTGCGATTGTCACAAGGGAAGCAAAAACCGAATTGGGTAACCTTCGCACCACTTTCCCAACACCTGGGACACCTTCAGTGGCTTTCTTTGTTGCCACTGCAACTGTTGGTGCAACAATCAAAGTGACAATAAGTTTTTGACTAACCACAGTGAATGTATCAGCTGTCATTTGTAGGATGAAATCAAAAAACTCGTCATGATCGATTTCCCCATCCAAGTTGATGTCACAGTTCTGCACATTGTCATATGAATCACACCAAATACCAATATGCAAACAATTATAATATACAAGAAAAATTTTCAATGTAGTTGAAGCAATTCACATATTCTGTTGGCCTGAACAAAGGTGTAGATTTAGCTTATTTTCGAAGAGTTGTTTTTTTAACATGGTTAAGCACGAAAGAAAGATGTGCCTCTCAACTCCTGCTACATTATCAAAATTTTCCGAGTTCATTCTGATTGAAAAACATAATAAAGCTTCATATATAAATAACATAAATTAGCTAGTAAAAAATATAGCAAAGCTCTAATGAAAAGTGCAAAACACCTCTGATTATTTGTGCAAGACGAGTGTTAATTCGAAACATACTCTCTTAACACACTATCATTGGTTGAAATTTTTTCAAAATCACAAAATTATGAACACACTCGTTATATAGGACATAAGACCCACATACTTTCACAATTGCCAATAAGAAAAAGTGTGTTTAAAAGAGTGTGAAAGAATGTGTTGCTAGCATTTCTCCTTTTGCAAAGGCATTTCCATCTAATTCTGCATCTCATAACTTCATAAAACAGTATGTATTATGCAGCAATTTCTACAAAGTAACAGAATTTGAGCATCCAAATTTCCAAAAGTTTCAACTGTACGATCCAAGTTTTATTTACCGATTTTTTCATCAGTTTCTTTAGTCAACACCTATCCTCTCTCCACCTCATACTTCAATGCACCCACTTATTTATGTTTTTCAGTTCTCACATTTGGTTAAACTTACAAAAACCCCTAGTCAAAAACTTACTAATTTGAAAATAGCAAAAGCCAGAAAGATTAAAATATTTCACATTCAAAAGTTTGACATCACATTATAGGAATTGGATATCTAAAGAGAATTGAAACTTTTGGGAAGCTGTTAGGAGTATATTAACTAATAAGTGACTATTCAACAAATAGATGTCAACAATGATTTCTTGAATGGCAACCTAGAAGATGACGTATACATGATTCAGCCTCCTGGATTTGAGGTTGCTGACAGAACTTTCGTCTCTAAACTGAATTAGGCCCTGTATAGCCTAAAGCAGGCTCCTAGATCCTGGTTTGAGAAAATCACTAGGACTCTCCATAGCTATGGGTTCAAAACCACCTGCAGATGTGACTCTCCTCTATTTATTTTAACTACTAACTACCTTGGAACACATATAGTCAACCTCACCTAATGGGATAAGGCTTGGTTGTTGTTGTACCTCTGAACACATCATCTACATATTAGTATATGTTGATGATATTCTAATCCATCATGAAAACTCATTCATTCTGATACAAAAATTAATATCTAGACTCAACTCTACCTACGCCTTTAAACAGTTGGGTCCAATAGATTATTTTTTTGGAGTTGAAGTCAAAATTCTTTGATAGAACACTCTTAATCAATTGATAGGAAATATAATAAAACCCAGAAATACAGCAATTAATGTTGCTTTCCCACAGTTTTAGCATCTCCTACAGAGCATAATCTCTGTCCAAGAGAAGAAAAATACTAGCAGAACTGTCTTTACCACAGAAATTTCACATCATATTCTAAATATACATTACATTCTGAATACATAACTGCTCACTCCAATAACTGTGACATAATAGAATTAATTTTAATTCCTATGCCTACCATAATAAACCAGTAACATAGGTGGTATGCTTGAGACCAAGATTGGATCCATGACCCTACCACTCTTCCTAATGGCTCTCTACTTTTGTCTCAAACCAAGTATGTTGAAATCTAATATTCAATGCTAAGATGCAAAAGGCTAAAGGAATAAACACTTCCATGGTTAGTGATTCCAAACTTTCAAATTTTGGTTCATATCATTTTTCAGAATCCAGTCTATACAGGTCAGTGGTTGGTGCACTACAATATGCAGCAATAACAAGACCTGAAATCAGCTGTAGTGTAAACAAGGCTAGTCCGTTTCTCTCACAACCTCTAGAGAGTCAATGGAAACTTGTTAAAAAAATTCTAAGATACCTACAAGGTACAATTACCAATGGTTTACATTTTTGGCCTGCTGTTAACAAGTCTCAAATCTGTATTTGAGAATTTTGTGATGCTGAGTCTGACCCTGAAAACAGAAGATCAACCTCTGGATCATTCATTTACCTTGGCCCAAATCTAGTTTCCTAGTGGTCAAGAAAACAATCTGCTAGATCCAGTGCTGAAGTAGATTATTGAAGTCTAGCTGCTGCAGTGGCAAAAATCCTATGGATAATAAACTCCTCTAAAAGAATTGAAGGTTCCCATTATACAACATATCATATCCTGTGACAACCCATGTACAGTATCTCTTGCTCATTATCTCATTCTTCACTCAAGGATAAAGCATATGGAACTAAATCTGCAAATACATTTTATCAGACAAAGAGTTATCAATAAAAGCTTCTGTGTGTATCACTACCTTCTCAAAATCATATTGCAGATATTTTAACTAAAGCTGTTGGAAGCACCGGTTTTTGTCATTTTAGAAGCAAACTCAATATTGTTGATTCCCTTACGGTCAATTAACCCACTTGAGTTTGAAGGGAGAATGTTAGGACTTAAGAGTAATATTAATCATATGCTTTTACTGTACTGTCCCAGCATAGTTTAGCTGATATTCTGTTTGAACTAAGTCAGTCAATTGCAACAGTCTAATCAAGGCCCAGTTTAGATAAGTTTTGAATAATAGAAGAAATCAGTATAAAAAATGAATAATTATTTTTTTCATAAGTTAAAAGAAACTTATACTATGTAAGTTTTAGAAATTAAAATGAGAGAATTTCTAAAAGAAGCATAAATTAACTTTAAAGTTATGGGAAGAGTTTGATCCATTTTACTAAATATTTTACTCCTATAACAATAAGTACTTATTGATAAGTTTATCCAAACTGGACCTAAAACAGTTTGTTAATCAGTTAATAGCAGTATAACTTCTCTATATAAACTTCTTGTACACAAATCAATTCAATGAAAATTCACTCTAGATTCATTTCTCTCTCTCTCTCTCTCTCTCTCTGTATATGTGTGTGCCCGTGCATGTGTATCATGTTCTCTGTTTTATAACAGAAGCATTCAGCTTGTAGTCATCCTCAACTGGAGTTGTTTGGATTGTTTGTTCAACTTTCAGTAACACTAGGTATAAAACCTTAATCGCATATATTTTTACACTCAGACCATGTGAAGATAATATAGATATCACCCTCTAGGTCCTCAAATTTTCTAATAGAGGTCTTAAAAAATTATATAACTTTAACAGCCATCCTTCTAAAATTGTATAGTAAGATTTATTAGTCTTTTCATATACATATTAAAACTTTAAGGAGTTATTAGTAGAAAGGAGAATGGTAGGAATTGAAGGGGAGGAGAGGACATTAGCAATATATTTTGACTTGAAACATGCTTTAAAGTGTATTATATTTTCACTTGTACTAAGTACTCAGTTAATTCTAAAAATACATTTTTGACAGTAATCGCTCAAATGAACCAACACTATAAACAGCTCAATACATGGTTGCTTCTCAGATTCAAACCATCCAATGTTATCATAATGGAATAAATGCATAGGTTAACCTCTTATTAAAAAGACAGAAATTCATGTGCATCATATGGTTATAAGAGAAATCAACAAAGCGAAGATTCATTTCCAGAGAGTACTATTTTCATATTTGTAGGTAAATAGAGTTCCTAGTTTTATCTCATTATGACACAACAAAGTACCTTCATGAGTTCTCTAACTTTCTCTTTTGATGGAGGATCAAAATGGGGACCAGGAATATACTTGTTGATATCACTACAACATAGAAACAACTCACTTTTAGAAGAACTAATCAAATTTATTAAGTATTTCAAAAACATATCATCAACTTGGCTAAAATGTCAAATACAATAATGAAGCAGGCTTCTTACTTGTACACAAGTAAAACAGCAATATACAGATCTTCAAAACTCAAGTTATCACATTGCCTTTGATTCTGTACTTTCACATAAACTCGATCAGTTATCTTCCTTATTTGCCTTTTCCTCCATTCATTACCTGTGTAACGTGCAAAGCTATTAAACAATAGCAATGGCATTGAACTCTACAATTGTATCAGTCAATGGTATGGCATGTTTAATATTCTGTATCTTACATAGAATGTCATGTCAGTCTAAAGAAGGCATAAAAACTGCATTAGCTTACCTTGAGTTCATGAAGAATGAAATAAGAATGTTTTCAACCATCAAGGAAGTGGGTTTATTGAAATACCAATTATTCAGAACAGAATCATTAATAGTTTAGTGGCTAAATTCAACAGCTAAAAGTTTGAATGATTTAAGAAATAATATAAAACTAATTTCTCCAGCCTAAAGTTAGGCTATTTGAATATTTGATTAACAAGTTTGCATATCTTATTCTCAAAGAACTGAAACTATCTTTGTTAATGAACAAGTCAAATCTTAGATGGAGAATAGTAAGCCCATGTTTGGTGACAGATTATTCTGAAAAAATAAATCACTTGTTTTCAAATCTCTCTGAGAATTGAAAAAAAACAAGCACTTGTTTCTCCAAAATAAATTAAACTAAATACATACTAAATTACTGGAACTGTTTATGTTCTCATAATTTCTCTATCTTATCCTTTATCCACAATTTCCATCTATCATTCCTTCTTCTTGTTCTCACTTTAATTGGTTTTCCTTCTATCCTACATCACAAGTTGAGCGACATAACCAAATCCAGATATTTATCTGGTCTTCTCCCACTGTGAGCTCCCTTGTCCTCCCAAATTGTATATGTAAGTAATTAAACCATAAGCTTCACACATTCTGGCCATCAAGTCAGAGACGTTGTTGCTGTATACACAATACAAATGATGATAGTGACCATAATTTATCTCAAAATGGCACAAGTTCCTTCAAAATAAACATCCAACACATCTAAAAAAAACTAAGAAAGAGAGAAAAGACAAACCTGCAAAGGGATTTATACAACTTTCCCGTTTAAAAACCAAACTTCAAAGCTTAATTCCCAGCAGCAATAAAAAATAAGAGCTGAGCAACTCTCTTGTTACTACTTTACCAGAGTTATCCCATTCAAATTCAACCCAACCCCATTTAATAACCATAATTATTTCCTTCAAAAACCTCGTTTAATAAACATACTTGTACAGTATGAAACCCCAATTTCCGCAGATTTTATAATTTTCATGCACAACATGGTAAATTAAATTCAGTCATATATATATATATAAAGAGAGAGAGAGAGAGTCCAGAAACAAATATAAATTTCATGTCTTTGAATTATTATTATTATTTGTGAGCAGAAACACAAAAGGGCAATTCCAAAACAGAAAAGAACATGAAGTAGGGAACAAATGAAAGAAAACTGAAAAAGAGAAAATTGAAGAGAAGGCAACAAGAAATAATGAATGATTGAAAAGGAAAATAAGAGAGTGAATACCCTGAAACTTGTCAAAGACTTGGCCCATGACACCAACCTCTCTGTGTTCAAAGCTTTAAACACTTGGAAGTGAAGCTCCACAGAGATGGTACATTGGTAGGAATAACGTATAAATTAAATTAAATCATCACAAGCACTTTCATCTTCTGAACCACAGGCTTAGATCACTACTCCTTTGAATCAATCCAAGCACCACATGCCACGTCATTTTCTTTTTTGAAGTAATTTCTAAACTCATTAAAAATATATTTAATTATCTTTTTATTTCTCAAAATATAGTTTTTTTATTAAATACTATTATTTATTCAACGATTTGTCAGTCAATTTTCCTTTTTTAATTTTAATTTCATCCGTTAAAATAGTATTATGAATTTTATATTTAATCATTTCAAATTTTTTGAAATTTTATTTTTAAAATATAACAAAAAGTATAAGAAATTAATTTTAAAAAAATAGATTTACAAGTTATAGTATTGTATTTACAAGACTATTAATTAAAATATAAAAACATTCACTATATCAAAAATAATTAATACAGTTTCTTTTTTTTTAACCTATATTCTTAAAATATATTTGGACATTATTTTTTCAAAATTTAAAATGAAACTTTACATTGTCTGAAATTAATATTGCGACATTAAATTTAATGATTTTTTTTAGAAAATATTAATGAAATATTTTAAAAATTATACAAAATAATAGTAATATACACCTATTTTAATTTATAATATATTTTAAACTAATATTTATATAGTTGAAACTTAAACGGAACGATAGCCGTTCTTTACTATAATGGAGACAAACCATGTTGAAAGCGACGCCGACAAGTGATGCAGAAAGCGTGTCAAATACTAAACATTTTTTTTTATTATTGTTAATAACGCTTAAAATTTACTACACTAGCATTATTTTGGAAATTTTATTATTCTTTAAATTTTATTTTAAATATATAAAATAGTAAATATTTATTTATATTAAAGTAATTTACTTACAAATTTAAATACTTAAAATTAGTTTTTAGGATTAATGTTAATGTTTTTTTCTTAAACATCCCAAACTATTTGTTATTTTATTAATGACTCAAGTTCAAATTCACCTCACAGTGACAACAACAATTTATGTGATATTGGTGATAGTTATGATTGTTGCGTGGTTTAATTTAAATTAGTTTTGACTTTTGAGATAAAATTTTATTCAAATTAATTATAAATTAAAATTATGATTTAATTTGCATAAAATAATATTAAAATAAAATTAATCTAACTCAATATTTTTTTGAGTTTGAATTCAATATTTTTTGTATTTTTAAGGGACACATATTTAACATTTATTTGATAAATTAATAAAAATCTATTAACTAAACAATGAATATAGTCTAAAATAAGAACAATTAATTTTTTAGTACCTTATTTTTATTTAAGAGATAATGTTTAAAAAAATTAAAATATATATTTAATATAAAAAAGTTGGTTAAAATTACTATATTTCATCATAAATTACAATCTAATTTAAATTATAAATCACGTCAAATTATATTTTAGATTAGTATTTATATAAAGATAAAATAAAAAAATTAACATAAAATTATTATATCTGTGATTTGATTTAATTTTAAATATAAAAAGTTAAAAAAGAACTAAATTGCATAAGAATCAGTATTTTTCTATTTTTTTTAGTTAACAATTTATGCAACATTTTAATTTTTTTTTCCAATAAGTTTAGTTTTAAGATTGAGTTAAAAAAATTATACCTAGTATATATTTTGTTTTAAAATTTTTATTTGAAAACTGAAAATTCGCAACGACATCAATCATATCTATCACTTAAGAATGTCTTAATATATTTTTTAAAAAAGTATTTAATCACCTTCAATTTTATTGTCTTTGCAAATAAACACTTTAAACTTTGATTTTATCCTAATTATATTCTTAAATTTTATCAGTTTAAACACTTCATACTTTGGTTTTGACTAAATTGGTCTTAAACTTCATTAATCTTGCAAACAGACATTCATTTTTAATTTAATTAATCCTTAAAATTTATTTATTTTATAAATAGACAATTTCATAAATTAAGTTAAAATTAAATTACCAAAAAAATTTAGTCATTTGTTTACCTTGAAACTCAATCATTTATTAAATTTTTGCGTGGTATAATTATTTTTTTCTAAACATTAAAACATAATAAAAATTATAAATCCAAGAAATAATAATAAAATAATCAATATATATATATATATATATGCTCTTTTTTTACTACACTTTAGTGTATTTTTTAATTAAAACTTCTAATATATTTTGATGTTTAGAACAACAACAACAAAATAGTGAATAGCCAAAATTTAAGCTAAATAGAAGGTTAATTTTTTCCGATAGTAATTTAACTCTAATTTAGTTTACAAAAAGAGTGAAAAGCTTATAAATTATTAAAATAAAATTAAAATTAAAGATATATATTTTAAAAAAATAGTAAAATTTAATTATGAGATGAACCAAAATTAACTTTAAGATGTCCATCTCATAATTCTCTTTGTTGCTAAAGAAGATATTTGCTTCAATATTCATTCTCCCTCTCAATCATTGCTTTTGCAGAAGTGCTCATAAAATGACTTCATTTTCTTCTCCATTTAAACCGTTGCATGCATTCAGCAAGTAAAATCATGGCCATAGATGATTTTCACAAAGAAAGAACAGAGACAGCAACACCTAAGCCAAAATTAAAATTTATATTTTATTTTTAATAGTTTTATTAACTTTGACTCTTAAAATTGATTTTAAGTAATAATAATATTTTATTATATTTTGTGTTCTTGATATTAAAAATATGTCGTTTTGAATTGTTTAAAAGCAATTTTAAAAGGTAAAAATAGCATTTCATAATTCTCTCTCGCTTAGGATTAGTATACACTTGCGAATCTCTTTATCTGATACAGAATGATTGCTAGCTGAAGCAACTCTCATTCCTCTTTTTGTTACTTTGGTGTTGTCTTCTAGTCGTGTAACTTGTTTAGCAGCAGTTGCTCAACACAAGTCACTAGACAACAGAAGTCACTCACTCTGCATAAACTTTATTTCAACCAATTTCATCACTCAATTGATTTAGAAAATGATGAATTTTTTCAATTTGAATAAAACTAGTAGCACAAATATTATTATTAATTGTTAAGTTTTACTAAGATGAAATGAGTTATACTTTTTAATAAGCATAAAATTTAACTCAGAATAAATAATTAAAAAGTGTCTTATTTAGATTATTATTTTTGAATTCCAACTAATTTAGACCAGTTATATCATTATTAGATTAAACATCTTTTTAATTGCAATTTTTGGGTGAAACTTTGATTTACTTTTTCAATTTATTTTAGTTTTAGTTCTTGATTTGTCTAAGTCCAATGACTTTGGGCGCTAGTAACTATGTAACTATCTAAAAGTTTATCATGTATTAATTTTTAGGTTTTGTTAATCTTAGGATAAATAATTAATAATAATAAATTTTTATTAAAAAGAGAAGTATTTATTATACTTTTATAACTTTAATATAATAAATATGTATTTTTTTCATAAAAAAATTTATATTTATAAATGCTTTAACTCAATCTCAATCTTAATAGTACAAAAGTCTTAATTTTTTTTATTAGATTATGTCATTACTAAGAATCAAAAGTACTAAATTTAAAATATTGAAGACTAAAATAAAAAAAAGTATAAGCTAAAATCAAAGTCTAATAATTATGTAAAGACTGAAAATATACTTAAGTTTATATTTATTTCTATTTCAAGTTTATATAAAAAATTAATTTAAATACACTAAAGCAGTGCAAATATTTCTTTGATTGTCATTAAATAATAGATCGTCGTATTAGTAAAAATTATTAATTTTTATAATTATTATATGAAAAATTCATATTCAAAATGTATTATAATTACTAAAAATATGTATTGGGTTTGGTGGTCAAATATCAGCTTCATTGATGGCAATAGTAGGTCTATGATTCGATATGCTCAAATGCTCAAATTGATCCCAACATCGGTGGAGGTTTTGGCTGTTCGATCGAGGTTAATTGTGTTAAACTTGGGTAATTGGAGTTCATGTAATATTCTAGTTAATTGTATATACATGCTAAAGAGAAGCCATAAAATAGTTATCACCTCTCATTTTCATTTTTGACATGAAATTTTGAAGTAACAAAAAATTATATAAAAAAAACTGTCAGATTAAATTAAATGATTACTTCTCAAATATATCATCATTTTTTTTCGATTTAGTTCTTATAATATTTTTTAGTTTTCATATTCAACAACAACAACAAAAAATACATAGTTCTAATACATAGTTTTCATATATTTACAATTTATGTCGTTGAAAGTTGTAACTTTAAAAGAGTAAATCACAAAGAAAGCTATTTGAATAATTTTTTCTTAGATTTTACTTCAAATGCCAAACAAAGAGCCCTAAATATTCAACATAAAAATAGAACAAAAACTTGAGAAGTTGACACCAATGTCCAACAAAAAGCATTTGCATATTGTATTCATTCACTAGCAAGAACAACCACTTGTTTACCAACATTACGACCACTAAAGAGGCCAACCAAGGCTGCAGGGCCATTCTCAAGACCTTCAACTATGTCTTCCACATACACAACCTTCCCTTCTCTAATATGAGGCAGCACAAACTCCAAGAATTTTCCATATAAGTGATAAAATTCGGTTACAAGAAAACCTTGCATAAGAACCCTCTTAAATATGAGATTTGCCAAATTTGTTACACCTTCAGGTTGATTAAGATTATACTGTGACACCATTCCACACAAAGGTATGCGACCATGGACTTTCATATTCAAAAGTACAGCATCAAGTGTCTTCCCACCAACATTCTCAAAGTAAATATCAATGCCTTCTGGAAAGTACCTATTGCATCAAATGATATCCAGAAATAGTTACTGTGTAATGGGTTAATAGTCATAGTATCTTATGGCAATGGACAAATTTAATTAAAATTTATCTATAATAAAACTTTTAAATGCTAACCTTTTCAAAGTTGTATTGAGGTCAGGCTCTTCTTTGTAGTTAAAAGCTTCATCAAATCCTAACTTATCCTTCAAGAGATCCACCTGGTTGTGAAAGAACACGTTCAAATGAAAGAAGAACTAGATATCTTTGTTGGAGAGCATATGCAAACTATAAAATTCAAGGTCTTTTTTTGGGTAAAGTAGAGAGGCAAGAGCTGGATTGCTACATAATAGGATACATTTGGAAACAAACTCATGCATATGACCACGCAGTGATATAATTTTTGGAGGTATAGTAAACATTCAAGTGCATATTTTGATATTGGGCACAAATGATGCTTCCATAAAAATTTGAAAAAAAAAATCCCATGTATTTTAACTCTAAATCTTTGGAAATTTACAATTAACACAGAATATTATCTAAGTTTGGAAATTGGCAAAAGCATTTCTATAAAATATTTTGGTAATTAAAATAGTAGTACTTTGAGTTTGAACAGCATAATAAATATTTAAAAAGTTGATGTTAATTTATCATGCATGCAAATAATAATAAGATAAATACCTTTTCTTTACTTCCGGCACTTCCAACAACATAACAACCAGTCAATTTAGCAAATTGACCAACAAGTTGACCAACTGCACCAGATGCAGCTGAAACAAAAACATTCTCTCCTTTCTTGGGAGAGCCTAAATCAAAGAAACCAGCATAAGCAGTCATTCCTGGCATACCTGTGTCATAGAAGAAACTAACATGAGTTCTAAAATGACACTAAACATAGAGAAAACAATGCAACCAACATTCATCATGAAGAATCAATATAAATTGCATATAATAAAAAGAGTCAATATAAATTGTGTTTATTGAATACATACCAAGAATTCCAGTATAGTACGAAAGTGGGACATCAGTGTGCTCAATTTTGAAAAGTATTAGAGTTGAGGGAACCAAGCTGTATTCTTCCCATTTAGTTGTACCCCATACTAAGTCACCTTTCTTATAATCTGGGTGTCCAGATTCTAGAACTTTAGACACACCATAACCTGTTAATGGCTGCAATTACTCAATGGTTACTGACTGCATAAATTTATTACTCAAATGTATTTTCAATATATACTACACTACAAACATTTTTAACTAAAGAGGATCATTAATTAAAATATGCACACTAAAGTTTTGAACCATATCACATGTATACATTTTATTAATATAGGCTCAATTAAGTTTTCAGCTCTAAAAGAATTTGAGATTTTTTTTTATTTAGTCTCTCATTTTTAATTGTTTATAGATGAATACTCATAATATATTTATTTCCCCAAATGATCTCCTCATAATTTTTATTTTTCATATGATCCTTCTTAATATCATTAAATTTTTTGCTGAGTTATTTTAAGTATTACGAGTTTTTTATTTAATTCTTATAAATATTATGCATTTTTATTTGATCCTTCTTAAAATTAAAGAATAAATTAAAAATACATAACATTTGAAAGGATTAAATAATAATAAAAATATTAATGTTTGCTATAGTACTTGCAAAGTTATGATTCTTCTAATATCTTAAAGATTAAAAAATATTTCTATTTTTTAAAATATATCACTAATTCCAATTATCTATTATATATATCTAATATAAAATTAATGGTGATAATTATTCGTACATGTATAAGGACATATAAAATACCTTCTTATTACAATGCACAATAGAGATTACCAAAACTATTTTGTAGCAAAATTTTTTTTATGTAAATTTTAAAAAATTAAAAATTAATGACCAAATAAATACATTATATTTTTTAAGTATTTTATCAGTCCAATCTATTGTACGTTAAATAATTAAAAGAAAAAAATTATTTAAGTATCAATTATAATTTTTAATTTATTTAATTAATATTCTTAGAGCATTCATTAGTAAGATTTAAAATATAATAATACAGTTTTGTTAGTATTAACGTTTGAAATTAAATTTAAACATCTGATAATTAATTTTTGCCAAAAAAAATTATTACACTTTTACATTTTTAATATAATAAATAATTTATTTTTAAATATTATTTTTAATTATTTAGTTTTAACTTTTTAGTCTAAGACTTTGTTTAGAAGTTTTAAGAGGAGAAAAAAGAATATTTAAATGATAAGGAATGAGAGGAGAAAGGAAAAGAAATAAAGTTAATTGATATAAAACTCTCTAAATTAAGGAAAGTTAAATACACAAGATTAAAGTTATTTGATAAAATAAGCTGAAAAGTGAAAACTTGTAATTTCTAACTGCAAAACTAGCTAAGAGTGGTAAACTTAAAAGTGAAAGCTTATTAATGTATAAATAGTTTATAAAATTAAACTATCTGTCAAACTAAATATGCAAATAGCTGTTTTATGTTAAATTACATAAAAAGATGTATAGTATTGTATTAATATAATATTAAAATTAGATATAATTTATTTTAACATCTTATTAATCAATATGATATTATTAATTTAAATAATAACTTAATTTTATTTTAAAAATTAATTTTAATATATTATATCAATAAATATTACATGGATTGATTCAAATAATTTATTTTTATAATTTACTTTTATTTAACAAAATATGCTATTAATTATTAATAATAAAAAGATTATTAATGGCCGGTGGTACTCATTTTTTACAAAATTTTTTAACATCAAATTCTTCTTGTATAATAACATATAATCATTAAATTAAATAAAATACTATATTTTATAATTTATTTTTAATATAAAATACATTTAGATAAAAAAGATAACAAAGCAAATTAAAAAATAAAGACAAAAAGTTAATATGATAAAGAATAAAAGTTTTAATTGTGTAACATGTAAGTTAAATTAAAAAGTGTAATTAATAAGTTATTTTTGAAATTTTTTAAATAATTTTAAAAAAACCAAATCTTAAAAATTTCAAATTTTTTTATCTTATATTTATCAAACTACTCTCCCTAATCTGAAATCTTCTTAAATAAAGATAATTATCACATAAACTTTCATCCTTTCTTATTTTGTTTTTTCTAAAGCTAACTTCTACACAGTTAATATATTTTGTTTTTAAAAATGTTTTCTGTTTTCATTTTATAGTTTTACTTTTAATAATAAAATTGTCATCTATTTTTTTTTCAAATTTTAAACTTTTAAAAAAAAGTTGAATTAGAAAAAATATTCGTTTCTATTAAAAATGAAAAACAAAATAAAAGAGAAGATATAGTCCTAAAACTAAGAAAATGGATGAAAGAAGAGTGAAAATGATTTGATTACTCACAGTGGCGGGGCTATAGGTACGAAATCCGTCAATGGCTTCCGTCTTGCTCATGAGGATTCGCATGTAAGGGTCACAGGACAAGTAGAGATTTTTTAGTAGCACCTCATCGGAACCTTCTGGAACCTTCAATGTTATGGTACCTTGTACGATGTTCATGTCGGATTCCTTAGGAAAACCACTGACATAGTCCCTCAGAAGCACCTGTTTGTTCCTCACTTGCGCCATCTCGATTTCGCTTCAGTGTTCCAACGAATGGTGAGGGATAAGATCAATGGCCTAATTTGTGGCCAATGTTATAAGTCAGCTCTAGTGTTCTATCAGGACACGTTATCTCCTACTTTTATTCAACTCAAATTAATTCATCAAGTTCTTATTTACAACGTGCTTTAATTGTGTATTTAGCCTTTATAAATGTAGTATATTAAACTTTTATAATATTTTTTTAAAATTTAATCTCTAAAAAGTTAAGAAATTAAAATTTTATCTCTATGTTAACTCTCTTTTATTAAATATTGAATCAGTTAACAGAATACCAACTCAGTACACATATGTAACATTACATAGCATACTACATCATTTAATTTTTTTATTATTTAAAATTATATAATTACAAATAAATTTCTAAATATATTTTATATAATTGTAAAAAAGTTCTTTTATCTTTTTTCCTTCTCTGCAGCCCCTCCCCTCCCCTCCCATCCCATGACCCCATTCAAACTTCAAAAATGCATGATGAAGAATTGATATTTTTCTAAAGTTTCTTACCAAAGTAGAAAATCATCAACACTTTTTTATTTTTCATTGCATTAAACTCTTTCTCCACCTCATATTCAAATCATTTATTTTTAAACTTTATACACGTTTCAAATTAATCTTCCCTCACCCAGTATAGAACTTTCACACAACTTATCAATATTTAAAACACAAATAAAATTTTAATAGAAAAAAAGTGATGAATGAATTGGAAATGAAGATGTGGATTGGGGGAAAGGAAAAAGATAGAAATGAGGGTAAAATAATAGGAAAGGAGTTGGGGTGAAGGAAAAAAGAGGGTCTGAGAGTGAAAAGGTGGTGCAGGTATGAAAAATGGAAAAAGGAAGAAGAGGAGATAAGGGTGGTACATATGGGAGGAATGAAAAGGGGATAAGGGAGAGAGGTGGTGTAAATGAGGTAGGAATGTGGGCGATGGAGGGAGAGGGGTGTGGAGAAGGGAGAAGGGAAAGGAGTAGTGCGGATAGGAAAGTGAGAAAGAGTGGTGCAGATGAAAGAATGGAAGTAGATGGAAGAGAGGGATGTGAGGAAGAGAAAGGGATGATGTGGATGGAAGAATGGAAAGAGGCAGTGGGATGAGGGTGAGAATGTAAGTATCGGAAGGAGAAAGGGTGTGGGAAAGGAAAGAAATAAGAATGGGTGGCACGGATGGAGGAATGGAAGTGGGTGGGAAAGAGGAGTAGTGAGGATGGGGCCATGAGAAAGAGAAAGGAGGGGTGACGTTAGGAGGGAGTGGAGGTAGGGGATAAAGGGATAGGTAAGGGTAGAGGAGAAGGAGAATGAAAAAGACTTTTATACAATCATATAAAATAGATTTAAAGATTTATTTGTAAATCTTAATTTTAAATAAATAATAAAAAAAAGCAAATAACGTGGCATGTTACGTGATGTCACGTGGAGTGACTAAAATTAAATCTTAACAAAAAAATTTATAAGGACTTATCACAAAATGACCAACATTTGTAGAGATAAAAAAATATAATTAAATCTTTAAGATAAAAAAATAATAATTTAATGGTTGAATTAATAAGTTTTATATTTTATAAAAAAAAGTTATTAAATAATGATCTAAGTTTAATATTTGATATTAATGAAGACTATAAAATAAGTAAAAAATAAAAATTAATTATATACAATATTAATTTATATAATTTAAATTTAATATTATCACATATTTTGTTTAAATATAATTTTTAAATTATAATTTTTAAGTCACTTACGTAATTTATTGAGATACTGTTAAACTATTATTATTAGATAGAACACATTTATTAAAAAGAGTAAAAATAATAAATAGTGAAAAATAGAAATTGTCTTAATAAAATATTTATAAAAACTAAATTAAAATTATGTATTTTATTGTATAAATTAAATAATTAATTAATTAAATTAAATAATATTTTATATATCAGAAATTAAAAAAATATGTTATAAAATTAAGAATTAAAATAACATACTCTTGACGTATACTAAACTAAAATATGGTTTAAAGAAGACAAAAAATCTATTATTTGAACTTCAATACAGTATTGTCCAACCGACACAATTTGTTTCAAGATTGGAAAGTTGATCACAACTGGAAGTAGTATTCCGAGAATGGAAAAAGAAAACATGCCATAAAAGAAATATTAGTGAGCTTAAATAATTATGAAGTGTTTGATGTTATAAAAATTTCATAAGTTGAAATTAGTTTTATAATTGTTTTTATTACGATGTAATTTTTATTTTTGTATAAACTATTAATTTTTTTTTCTGATATAATATATTAAGATATTGTCAAATATTAATTTTTGGTTAGATTATATTAGATAAAAATAATAGTTTGTAAAAGAATAAAAATTATATATAAACTAAAATATTTCATAAAAATTAAGTACAAATTGTGTAACTTTTATAAGGCTAAATATTTAACTAAATCTATAATTTTAAGCAATTTAAATAACAAAGTTGTTTATTAAATCTTCCTACTTTGACATTTTGTTTTATTTTGATTTTAATAAGAGCTGTTATTATTTTTATTGCAAAGTAATAAATTAATTTAATTTCTGAAATTTAAAATATTAATTAATTTAATTTCCTAAATTATAGAAATATTATTTTAATGTTTAAATTTATTAAATATTTGTTATTTTATTTTTATATTTGTAGTTTTAATCATTTTAAAACTTAATAGATTTATTTATAATGTTAAATGTTAAATTAATTTATGGTATACCGAAATAAACTGATATTACGGATCAATAATACAAATCCAATATAAGTAATAATGTGTGTTTTAACAATATTTTCGAATAACAATAATGAACGAGATGCAATTTTTAATTTATGATTCCATCTTCAACAATGATTCTCAGCAACTAAACCTTTGAGAAACTTCACCTAACTAGAATAGGACTTTTTAGAGAAAATCAAGAAGAAGTAGAGAGAGAGAAGCTCAGGAAGAAAAGAATTATCAAGGGAAAAATCATACCAAATTTTTTCATGCCTGCTTATGTCACAAAGTCCTTCAAATATACATTCTTCCTTCGAATTCTATTAGTTCTTCTTAATTCTGCCACTTCTATATCTTTTGCCACTTGTCCTGCCTCTGTAACTAACTATTTTTTTTTTCACTTTTCTTCCTGCGCTTGAGATGCATGTTACATATACTTTTATAGAAGAATAAAATATAATTATTATTTATTATAATAAAATTAATTTTAAATCAAATTTTTATTATTAAATGAACTTTACTTAAGATTCGTTAAGTAACATAAATTTCATTTATTTTTTATGAAATTTACATAAAAGTAAAATTCATTAATTAAAAGCACTTGGCTTATCTATGAAAAATAATCTTTTTAATTTTTCTCAAACTAATAGTCATTTATAATTTTAAGATAGATTTAATTTTTGTAATTTTACTTTTAAAATAATTATTATTTTAAAATTTATTTTCTATCTTATTTTTTATTTATTGCATAAATAATTTTAAAATGAGTATAATAGAAAAATTTATAGAGTAAACCTTATACTAATCCTTAATTTTGTGAGCATCAAGTAAATTAGTTCCTATAATTTTTAAAAATAATTGTTAATCTCCGACTTTACCAAACGTCAATTACGTATTAACTTTTCCTATTAAGTGACATTTTCAATATCAAAACAACCTGATTCTTAGAAACTAATTTATTCAATTTTTGTCATTATTTTTACTATTATTTCTAACAACTCCTCTCTTTCCCATCCATGATTCTAGCGGCCATAAATCTCCACTAGTTTAAGTTTTAGTCTTGTTTTTCTCCTCTATAACATCACTTCCCCTCTCGTCATAAGCTTGATGCTGAAAATCAGTAAGCATTGTACCAACAATTTGAGACAAGCTTGAGTGCACTATATTCAAGAGATGAGAGAGGGCTTTGAGGCAAGAAGAAATAGAGCCGTCCAAAGGGTCAGGTTGGGCAGGTTTGAGTGTAGTTGACCCAAGAACAGTCCAAACCGACCCTTGCATTGTTGGGCCCGTAATTTTCTGCCTAGAAATTCACCTTTTGAACAGGTTGTGGGTTATACAAGTTGCAGGCTGAGCAGGTCAAATAATCGAGTTGAGCCAATTTAGGGCCAAAATAGTTTTTTGCCAAAAACGATAAAAAAAATCTTATTTGTTCATTTTTTAAGTTTAATTTCAATTTTTTTTTCTTTATTTGCATATTTTTTTCCAACAAAGTACAATACAAAATTAGAATTTATAGAAAAACAATGTATGACAAATAATAGATTAAAATAAATTTTTATGTTGAAGTCAAGTCATAGTTCAGTTAAAAAAATAGATCTAAAATCATAATAAGTCTAAATCTAGTCTTACAAAGAAAATTTTAAATAAAATAAAAATAACCAATCCAAACCTACTCATTCACATGCATTTTAGGAAGAAAAAAAATTAGAAATATCAATTGGGTCCTAAATTTAGTCCTCAAATATACAAACTATAACAATAAGTCCACATGACACCTCTTTTTAAACTGTCCGGCAAAATAAATCAACAAAAGTACCAAACCAATATAAAGATATGAAAAAGTATTGATTGGCAACAACATTGATTAGCAAGAGACAAAAATTCCTCCAACTCCTTAATTAGCTCTTATCTCCTTCCTGTTTGTAGATCCATGGAGGAACACTACAAAATAGTGATAAAAATCCTTAGTCGGTTAATAAATTTAACTTGCAATAAAGTTGAGCACATGAAGAGAATGAATACTAGAAGGGAATGTCATTTACCTATCTACGATGATTGCAAATGCTGAGAATGATAATTTGATATGGTGAAGCAAATCTTGGCTTAGGTTTCAAAATGATCATCAAGTTGAGAGCATAAAAGTAAAATTTATAAGATAAAATGAAACAAAAACAGTGACATGCATATTGCATATTAATATATGAATGTATTTAGTGGAGAGAGAGCAACATCTTACTATCAACAACATAAAATAAAAAGGCTTGAATGGTTACTGTCCAAAATAATTCAACAAAAGCAAAATAATATCTGCACAAAAATAAATTAAAGATCAGTTCAGAATTAGTTTAGAAAATCACTTTACTTAAACATTTGACAATGTTAAAATGAAAAAACAAGAACATGCATTTTGTCCTCAAGGATTCCACATAGTCCTTAATCCAAAATAAACCCAATTGATATTTGCATATATTCAAAATAATATTTTCATATCTCAGGCTCCAAAAAGTCATGGCTAAAAAAATAATAAGAATACCAAGGCAGAAAGTTACAAAAACAAAGTTAAATAAAAAAAGTGAAGAGGCAGTATGTTAAAAAAATAAATAACTTACCCTATAGTCAACCTTAGCTAATATTAATTGGCTGAGATAGACCAGTAGAACTTTTAGATCCAATCCCTCTAGCCACAGGTGCAGCTCCTCCAACAATTGACAAGTCTTAAATGCATGAGATCAACCAAAAAAATATTAAATTACTAATGAATCCACATTTTATTGGATTTTTACTTGTCATTTTAGTGTTCTTTAATAGAAAAAGTAGACTTAGAGAGTGTAAATAGCATAGAAACATTATTTTGGTCAAATATTATAGGTTTCTTAATTTTTGGCTAATTTACATAAATATAATTTACAATTTTGATCATTTAAATAATTGTGCAGGAATTTCTAGACCTATTCTATGAATTTTTAGCCTTTGAGAATATTTGAGTTGAAAGTGACCATTTCAGAAGGGATAGTGGACACTACATCAAGCTAGATCCAGAGGGTAGACCAAAGTGACTACTTTCAGAGTAATAGTGGACACTACAAAGACCTCATACTAAAGAAGGCCTACGCGTAACCACTTTAAATTCTATAGTGGACACTTCAGAGAGGGCCAAATTGACCCAGTAGAGAGGGATGATAGGATGGACCATAACTAACAGTAAAAAATCCTACTAATGCATGCCACTTAAGCGTGAAAAATTGCGTGCCTTAAGCATAGGGTTCCATGACTAAGAGTCTAAGACATGAAAAACCCTAGCAAAGTATTTAGTTTAGGAATAAAATCAAAGAGGTAGAAGAGAAGAAAGACCAAAAGACTAAAAGAACTAAGAGTGTTTGCCTTAGCCAATTAGCTTTAGGGTTCCATGACTATAAGTCTGAGAGATGAAAAACCCTAGCAAAGCACTTAATTTAGGAACGAAATCGAAGAGGGAAGAAGAGAGGAAAGACTGAAAGATTGAAAGAGCTAGGTCCCATGACTAAGTGTAACGCCTAGATTTCATTTCAAATAAATAAATTTTGTAAAAATGGGAAGGACAATAATTTTTATTTAAGTAATTTCCAACACATGGTTCATCATAGTATTTTAAAATAAAGGAAAGGATTACAAGTTGATATCAAATGACTGCTGCTACAGAACTATTCTAAATACATCATACTTTCAAAACAATATTATAAGTCTTATAGTAATTCCGTCTGTCCCTTCACTGAGTCCGGTGCTGATCATCTTGGTCACTTAAAAATTAAATGTAAGGATGGGTACTCTACACTATCAAACATGCACAAGCATAGAAACTCACCTGACATACTCTACATGTTTCCTAGCATAACTCAAATCAAGCATCAACAGACACAAGTAACATTTTCCAAATATTCTATTTCAATTCACAAAAAGGTGCACTCAATACACCAACAAATCATTCCACACACACGTGCGCTTACTGTATGTAGCCACGCTCACTGTGACACTGTGATCACAGTTTCCTGACGCCCTCAACCTTAAGAACTTACTCAGTTTCACGCCATAATGGTCGCTGGATAACCCCTGCCTCACAGATACGTGTGCGGTCACGGGTTCCTTAACAAAGGTGTTAGTCAGAGGCCGAGTCAGGAGGAGAATGTATGGCCTGTGGTGCACCCATTGTTGGTGTCACTACTACCCTTTCTTCCCCAAGGTATTTCTATTGCCCTTATTTTCCACACTCCTAGTATATCGCTGAACTATTCATAGCTTTCCAACATACTCAAACACATTCACAATCAACATCAGCATGTCATTCACGCACATTTCCAACCATTCAATTATTTGCAATGGCATGTTAACACATAGTTTCACCCACAATCTCAATCACATCACAATATTCACTTTCACACACGACACGTATGACCACATCCAATCACATCACATACAATCACATAACATTTCCAACATGATTTCGAGTACAATCAAACCATTCTCAACACACGCACTATTTAACATTAACCACATTGTAACCAACTACACAATTTTCATCACATTCCCTTACAAATCATGTCAACACGAAATATACATTAACACGCATATCCTTACATTTTATCCTAACCACATTGCAATACATAGTCAAATAAACGAATTCAAAGCACAATGAAATATGGTAGAGTCCCCCTTACCTTAAAATGAAGACCCATAACGTAAATCAACAATGAAAGTGTCCCTCACACAGATTTAGTCCTTCAAGCTTCCCGAACACAATATAAACCTTCAATCCAACTTACGAACGGCTTTGGAGGCAGTTTAATCGGTAAGAATGGATTGGAAATATAAAGAATTGAAAGAGAGATAAAGAGAAAAGAGTGGGAATGTGTTTCCCAAATTTTAAACCCCTCAAATACCCTTCTGGTCACGACACTCTCGCTACAGCAAGCCATCTCTCACTGCAGCGAGACCCCTTCTCGCTATAGCAAATATCTCAGACGATTCTGCACCCTAAGTTCTGCATAATCTCGTGCGAGATTCTCTCGCTACAGCGAGACTCTCTCGCTACAGTGAAACCCTCTCGCTATAGCGAGATTGCACCCAGAAAATACCCTCTTTGTTGCCCTTTCGTTGCAGCGAGGGACCTCTCGCTACACGAGAGCGCAACAGATTCACGCCCTTCTCCCAAGGCTTTCTAACTATAGCGAGAATACCCTCGCAGCACATAATTTAGCCTATATATTCAATCAATCAACAATTATACATACATATATATTCATCTACACATATTCATGCATATACTCATACATTCACATCATCACACTTATCAAATACCCATTCATATGGAAATTCGCAATTTACATTAATAACTCAAAAATATTATTATTATTACAAATTCTAGGGTGTTATACTAAGAGTCTGAGAGATGAAAAACTCTAAAAGTGCACTTAGTTTAGGAACAAAATCGAAGATGGGAGAAGAGAGGAAAGACCAAAAGTATGAAACAATTAAGAGTATGTGCCTTAGCCTTAGGGTTCTATGACTAAGAGTCTTAGAGATGAAAACCCTAGTAGATGCTGCAAAGCACTTGGTTTGGGAATGAAATCAAAAAGGGGAGAAAAAGAGAGGAAAGAAAAAAAAAATGACATGCAGCGCTAAGGAATAGAGAAAAACTTACTACATTTTAGGTTAAGCAACGACTAAGTATGCGCCCCTAGGGTTTCATTTTTTTATTTTTTAACATTAACTTAATAAATGGTCGGGTCAGGTCGGTTCGAGTGTCAGTTCCCTCACCCGAGCCTGACTGCTTCTACCCTTAGAATCTCCTTTTCAATGCCCCGTAATTCCCCTAAACAAGTTGACTTGACCTCGTCCGTATTTTGGGCCTTTGATTAGCCCGATTTCGGACGAGTTTGGCATTTTTGGATAGGCCTAGGAAGAAGTCTGACAAGACAACAACGACAAAGGGTAGGAAATGACACATGAGAGTCTTGTGAGAGAAGAGAGTGAGAAATGAAAGTGCCAGCATTGAAGACATGGAACATAATAGTGAAGGTGGTTAGGACATTGAGAGGAGAGGAAACATGCATGATGGTAAAGACAAGATGTTGAGAGAAGAAGAAACATGCATGATGATAAAGGGAATATGCATGATGGTAAAGGTAAGACGTTGTCGATAGAGAGGAAATGAAAATAACGTTATTTTACTTGTCATATAGTAACAAAAATTAACACCATTACAACAAAATTATTAGTTGGATTTACAAATTTTTAGAATCAATTTAGTCAACTCTCACAAATTTAAGGACTAATTTAAAGATTTACTCAAAACTTAAAATATTTTAAAAAATATAATAATTAAATATATTTATTACTTTTTTATTATAACCTTAAACCGTTATTTTTCTGAGGAAAAAATAGAAGTGTTTTTAGAGAGTAATTTTAAAAATACTTTAATAAACTTCGTGATTTGAAACTACCAAATATCTTAATACTTTGTGAACACCTTTAAGGTGCTCATAACCTAATATCTAAATTATACTAAATGTCATACTCCATGGTCCACTTTTCAGCTTACATCTACATAGCTAATATTTTATTGTTTTATATACACTTATTATCATATAATACCCAAAACCTTATGCTGTTATACCTCTCTTGTAACTTATTTCTACTGTTGTTTTACTGCTATATAAATATTAACTTAAACATTAGAGCATTTTTACACTTGCGTTATGATTAATCACTTCTAGTTTTGATTATGGCTACGTTATGATTACAATTGCCAATGCTATAACTTGTTCTCTTCTAATATTTGTGCCCTAAATTTTTATCAAAATCTTCCCAGAATTTGCTGGAACAATTTAGGATTATCAGTAAGTATTCCTTTTAATCTGCACATTATATTTTATATTTTTCTTAAAATCTCAATTTTCTCAAAACAATTGCTATAAATTAGTTTTTATATTAAAATTAACTATAAAATATAAAATGAGTGATACTCAAAAAATAACTATAACTTGGTCGCTATTTATTTCTCACATGGAATTGTTGCCTCTACACTTTCTCCCTCATTTCACAGTTAAATTACTAATAGTTACTTTTAAAATAATAATAAAATATTTAAAAAATAAAAAAATTAATAGAAATCGCCATTAAATTTTTTTAAAAAAATTATATTTCTATAATTTTGCTAAAAATCTCATATTTTAGTAATTTAAAAAAAAATTGTATATAAAAAAGTTAACAAATATCTCATCTTAATAGTTTTATTTTTATTCTAGTTTCGATTAAATTATTACCGTGTCATATATAAAAAAGGCATTAAATTGATTTTTTTTATTTATAATACAATATAAATTATTGATAACATAAAAAGTTAAGAATAAAGTAATGAGGGAAGGGAAAAAAAAAAAAAAAAAAAGAGAGAGAGCTCAAATGCATTGTTTCATCCGAGTAGGAGATCACAGTGATTGACCCCAATCACAAGAGTTATTTCATAGCCCCCTCTTTTAGATGCATGGGAATCGAATCCAGGCCTCCAACGTTGCAGGGTAATATTCAACCACTATACCATTGTGCTTCTATGCTTTTAAATTCGTATAATATTATATAATATAACCACAACTTATCCAGTTCGAATTCTAGATATAAATATTAATAATAATATAAAAAATAAATACAGGTTTAATAAGTTTAAGTCTAAATAGATAAATACCTATCAAATTAATGATTTTGGTTACCAGCCTTGTCCGTTAATTTTCATCTTTTATTCCTGGGAGAAAATAAATTTTCATATTAAATATAAATTTGATAAAATGAAACTTTTAATAAATTTTATTTATTAAATTATATGATATTATTTTATTAATAAAATTTATTTAATTTAATATATTACTCATTAAATGAAATAATAAAATCAAATACCTTACCAAATTTAACAAATTTAATACTTTTTATATAAATTGTTAATATTATAATTGGAATGATCAAAATTTATTAAAAGTATTGCTTTTCTAATTTGATATTTAAATCTAAATTCATCCAATCAGTTTGTTTAAAATTATGAATCATGGTGTTCTCCATAAAAATATACTTTGATAGATAAATTATTAAGAAAATCAATTAGCTATAATTACCTTAACCAAAAATTAGGTAATGTTTGAAAAAAAAATGACTCTTTAAAAATTTTAGATCTTAATAATAATAATTAATTTTTGATAAATTTGATAATATAGATGATTACAAGCTTGTTTTATTTGAAGGACTGTGACTTATTTTAGGCCATTGTTTCTTCAAAAGTGGAAGTCTCTGTTTAAGTCTAGGAACCATACTTAGGGATAGAAACATGCCAGGTCAGGTCAGACTTTACTCTAAATAAGCTTAACTTGTAATATAATTATTAGGCCTGAACTTGACATGTTACCTGTTAAAGGCTTTATTTTAGACCTGACTTGACCTATTTAAGTGGCTTGGCTTGACCTGACCTGAAACATGTTAACAAAGCCTATTACAAAAAAATATATGTCATTAATAATTAGTTTACATATTTTTTTAATTTTCATCTATGTCATTAATAATTATTAAATAATTATAATAATATTTATATATTTTATAAATAATTTTTAAAATATTATATAAGCATTAATTATAAAATATTTTATATTAATAAAATTTATATTTATATTTTTCTTGATTTATTTTTAAAAATTATATAAATATTAAAGATTTTAGTTTTATTTTAGAAACATATTTTGTTTATATAAAGACATCTTATATTCAACAAATAAAGTTATAGTAAACACATAAAATTGATCACAAAAAATAACATTCACACAGTTTATTGAATCAATTAAAAGAAAATTATTATGTTTTGAAAAATAAATTTATATAATGTTTAAATAAATTTAAACCTAATGCAATATATATATATATATATATATATATATATAATGACAATAACAATAATTATTAAATTAAAAAAATAATTACAAAATATTTAATTTTATTTATTTCATTAATTTGTTATTTTAAATTAACAAATAAACATAAAATTAACTACACTATAACATTAATGTAATATAATAAATATCACTGATACAATAAATTAAAACACATACTTATATATTACATATAAATTGATAAATTGATAAATTAACTAATAATTTAATTAAAATATGTGCAAGTTACAAAAATATATATTATTATATAATTTATTTATAATTATATTATATATAATTATATTATTTGTATTATTTGCTACATAGTCTGATTATATATATATATATATATATATTATAATAAATTTTTTATTTTATTTTGTTATCATTTTTTTAAAATTTTTACTTTCAAATAAAATATAATTCATATTTAAGCAATTTTTATTTATTATAAATAAAAAGAATTATAACATAATATATTAATATAATAATTAAATATTAATAATAATAAAATTAAAATATAAAAAATATATTAAAAAAATATTAATATTTATTTTTAAATTTTAATTCGTTTAGTTTTAATTATGTCTTATTTCTGTTCAAATACTTAGATATTTTTCAGCTTATTTAAATGTAAAAAATGTAATAATTTATAATTAAATAAATTTATTTTTTAAACATGTGTAATCGTGTATAAATATATATTATAATAAGTTTTTTTATTTTTTTTTGTTATAATTTTTTTTATAAATTTTTACTTCCAAATAAAATATTATTCATATTTAAGTAATTTCTATTTATTATAAATAAAAAGAATTATAACATAATATATTAATATAATAATTAAATATTAATAATAATTAAATTAAAATATAAAAAATATATTAATAAAATATTAATATTTATTTTTAAATTTTAATTCGTTTAGTTTTAACTGTGTCCTACTTTTATTCAAAGACTTAAACGTTCTTCAGCTTATTTAAATGTAACAAATATAATAATTTATAATTAAATAAATTTATTTTTTAAACATGTGTAATCGTGTATAAATATTTTTAGTTTCGAATACAGTATAAAATAATTAAAATTTAACATATTTATATTTAGATGTGTGGCTGTGTGTTATGGACGTTCTATCTAAATTTTTCTTTTATAGGTACTTTAGTAAAAAAAACTTATTATATTTATATTATTATACATAATTTATTTAAAATTATATTATTTACTATATGGTCCTATTATATATATTGTATATTAAATTTTTTATTTAATTTTTCTATCATTTTTTATAAAATTTTAGTTTTGAATAAAATATAATTCATATTTAAATAATTTCTATTTATTATAAAGAAAAAGAATTAAACATAACATACTAATATAATAATTAAACAATTAAATTAATAATAATAAAATTAAGAGTCTAAAAAATATATTAATATAATTTTATTATTTTATTTTTAAATTTTATTTTGTTTAGTTTTAATTGCGTCTTATTCTTGATAAAGACTTGACTATTTTTTAACTTGTTTAAATATAAAAATTATAATAATTTATTATTAAATAAATTTATTATTTAAAAAGTGTAATTGTGTATAAATATTTTTAATTTTTAATAGAATATAATTTCTGTTTATTATAATTATAAACAAAAAGAGTTATAACATAATATATTAATTTAACAATAACAGAATTAAGAATATAAAAAATATACTATTAAATAACTTTATTATTTAAATATATTTTGATATCTCTATTTTTAAATTATAATATATATATATATATATATATATATATATATAACTGATGGGAAAGTAAGAATATAACTGTTGATCGTTTATAATTATGTTCTTCTAGAACTGGATATATTTTCTCTAAAAATTTCTGTAACCGTGGTTTATCGGTTGGACAGCTGACAGGCTCCTCAGGTGAAACCGTTATTGGTCGTCCCTATCTGTAACAATGCCACGAACTAATGGTCCAGAAATACTGTATAAGATTTAATTTTCAGGATGCGTTTTTGCTGGAAGCATAGCAGTTCTTAGTTCTTTTGAATAGGGCTGCAGCAGTAAGACCCGTGATGATTTGGAGGGCAGTAAGGCTGATTCAACGATGCTATATTCAAAAGAAACAAAGAACATAAGATGCTGGTGGCTATAGTTAAAACAATCCAAATTTTGTAAATGTAAAAAAAAAAAAAAGTCCATAAATAATCAGTTATAGTCAAAAAGGTTACAAATGATTAACAAATATATTTTTATGGAACCAAATGAAGGTGATGAACCAGATATGTTTCTATGATGTCTCGTTTCCTTCGTTCTTTTTTCCGTATATCCTTCCGTTCTAGTTCTAGCTCTTCCTCCTCCTCCTCTCTAACCAAAAATACACTCTTCAATGACTAAGAGAAACAGTCTCTTGAAATTACACCCAAACATAATCTCTTTGACGAAGAAGTTCGCTTTGAAGAGATCAATCAAAGTATGGATGATTGGACTATTCCAGAAATTCCTCAGGACACATTATATGTTCCTAAAGAACAATCTAAAAAGAACAGTTCTGATTATATTATCAAGACTGTTGAAAACAATATCCCTTTAGGCAAAGATATAGGATTCCTAGAACTGTTTACCAAACTTCCGATAAGGAAGAAGAAAATCAGAGTATCCAATCTTCAACTT